TGTGCCTGCCTGCTTTGCCTGATTTTGGGTAAAAGTTGCTCTTTTTTATTAAAAAAATCAACATTTACATAAATATTTATAATATTTACGATATAAGCCATGTCCATCCAATCACATGCCCACCAAGCCACACCCACAAATTAGGCCACGCCCATAAAACTGGTTTTTAAGAAATCTGAATTCATATTAGTGGTCCCCGTCATCATAAGTTTGGTGGTCCCTGAGGTCCAAAAGGTTGGCGATCCCTTCTTTAGAACACACGTAAACCTATTTAAAATAATAGCAAACTTTTATTGATTATAGAGTATATCTGTTTGCTCTCTTTCTCTTTTCCAGACGTAGCCAATGTCCACCACTAGGCTGCCAGGCACTGGCCGGGGATCTTGTATCTGGGATCTCAAAAGGGCTGGGGAGGCTTCAGGGACCTCTGTTATCCCTGAATGTCCTTGCCTTTTTTCTTTTTGGGTGGGAAGGGTCTTGCCATGTGCTCAGACCCAACTTCCCTCCTTCTGTTCCCTTAACAGTTCCTCTCCCTGAGGGGCTGCTCACCCAACTCCCCCCACCTTTTAAAAAAATACTAGTTTGATAATCTCTGTGATTTACTGGCTTTTCCTCATCTTGCTTACATGCCTTCACCACTTAGAGGCCTCGTGGCTTCTGCGTAGTCTCACACTGGCAGAGGCTCCCTTTTCTTGAATTTCTAAAATTAAGCTAAAATAATTAGGGAGAGAGCGATACCTCCTGAACTCTCATTTATTTTACCTCAGCCCACTTCCCAGGTGAGGCAGGGTGAGCATTAGCACCTGTACCTGCCCTTGTAAAACCTTTTCTCCTCCTTTGCCGCTAGTGCTCTCTGACCCAGTTGCAAAAGAAAGCTGTATGCTGAACTTGCTGCTCTCGCTTCCGGAGCCCAACCTGGTCACCTTCCTCTTCCTCCTGGATCATTTGAAAAGGTGAGGCCGAAGCTCCTTTCCTCCCCGCCCAGCGTTGTCAAGGACGTTCCAGAACACCGGCCAACGTGACCCGGTTGTAAAAAGAAAACGCCCGGGGGGTCCTGGCGTGGCGGCGTGCAGGGTCTCTGGGCTGGAGCCGCTTCACCCCACACCCTCCCGAGCCCTGCCTGGCCCTGCAGAGCAGCCGCCGCCGATGAAGACTTTCACGCAAGCATCCTGGCCAGGAGCGCTGGAGGCGCTTCAGGGCTGCTCACCCAACTCCCCCCCACACCTTTTTAAAAAAATCCTAGTTTGATCATCTCTGTGATTTTTGGTCTTTCGTGTCAGGCTGCCAAATCGGACCCACCTCCCCCAGTCTCTGGCCTTTCCTCCCAGAGAGACGCCTCGGCTTTCCCTGGGTAGCCATGGGGCATCGAAGACCATGCAGGTTGGGGAGGCAGGGCCTCCTTGGCAAAGAAGCCTTCCTTCCCCCAATCTTGCTGAGGGGGACAAGGAGAGCTCCAACCTTCCCTTTTGGGGAAAGTGATGGCTTCTCTGGGCTCCTGGGAGTTCAGACCTGGGCAGAGGCCACCCTGGGGACTGTCCTGTGGCAGGCTTTGGATGGAGCTGGTACAGCCCTCTGCACCTTGGATCTTTTGGTGACACGTGGGACCATAGTCTCCCCCTGAACTGCTGCCAAGGTTGGCAACTGGGGGGGCAGCAGGATTCTTCAGTTCTATGCCTACCTCGGCAGGTGGGTCCAGAGGCTGGGCAACTCAGACTGAGGAAAGTTTAGGTGATGTATCACCATCCTGGATGCAAAGTAGCTTTTATGCATTGGACGTTTGAATGCCAATGAATTTTTGTGATTCCTGGTAGTTGAAATGTGTTTGAACATTAGAAGCTCGGGTTGGTAGTTAGGCTGTTGGTTTAAAAATATAGAAATATCCAAACAAACAAACATTCAGGCTATTTTGCATCTCACAAAAAGGTATTTAAAGATCTGTGTTCGGACAGATGAGCACAACTCAAAACGCACTGACGATGTCTCCTTGAAAGGCGATGAAAACATTTGTAACCAAATTGCCAAGTTGGAGCTCAAACCAACAGCCTATTTCTGGTAGTTTACAAGAAGAGGAAATAAAATGGTTGTACAGAAAGGGTTATTTCTTCCTTTGCCACGGGATTTTTTTAAAAAATCCACTCTTGGTTGTTTCTTTTCAAACTGGAGATTCTGGGGATAAATTCCCCGGATATTTTGGACATATTTGGATCAGTAACAGAACATGTGAGGTCAAATCTGTCCTTTCAAGACCACTGTTTTCCATTTGGTCCTGACCTATAAGTTAGGATAATGTTTCTTTTAAACTGCCTCACCTAATTACCCCTTTTCCCAATTGTGAATCATATTTTCACCCTCACAAACAACCAGACTTGCTAATTTTATATCGGTGTCCAAAACTGGACCAAGATTCACCAACAAGTCATTACAACTTGCTCCATTGCCCCCAGGATGTGCCCCCTTGAGGGGTCTACTTTGAATACCTCTGTGTTGGATCATAACTTTCTTTTCTACCCCTATATATTGTTTCAGAGTTGCTGAAAAGGAAAACATCAACAAAATGTCACTCCACAACCTGGCCACCGTTTTTGGACCAACATTACTCAGACCGTCAGAAAAAGACAGCAAAATTCCTGCAAATCCAATGCATCCGATGGCCATGACTGACAGCTGGTCACTCGAAGTCATGTCCCAGGTAAAAGCAAATGGGGAGTCCAAGTCAGTGTTTCTCAACCTTGACCGCTGGAAGATGCGTGGACTGCAGCTCCCAGAATTCCCCCCTGGCAGCAGGTGGAATTGAAGTCCACACACCTTCAAGTTGCCGTAATGGAGAAACACCGGCCTGAGGAAGCGTTGACCTTTCATTTCTGCTGGGGTCTTCTGATCAACAAAACTCAGGGTTTCACAGGGGCCCAGACTTCTCTGAGGACCCACTTAGATCAAAGGGAAAATGAGGGAATAGCCCATAACCCAGGGATGGCGAGCCTATGGCACACCTGCCACAGGTGGCACGCAGAGCCATTTGTGCTGGCACGCGAGCTGCAGGCAAACTTACCACACTGCGCATGCGTGCGCCTCACAGCTGATTTTCGGCTGGGGGGGGGAGAAGAATATTGAAACCAGAGAAAGTAAGTTCTGGGAGCAAAGAAATGTTCAAGGTTGACCCACCCATTCCATCCTTCCAAGGTCAGTCAAATGAGGACCCAGATTGTTGGGGAAAAGAGGCTGGCTCTGTAAACTGCTCAGAGAGGGCTGGAAAGCCCTGTGAAGCGGTGTATAAGTCTAAAGGGTTATGGCTATGTGGGTGCTTGGCATCCAGCGTGTATTTACAATGATTGTAGCTTCCCAGGGTGGTGCGATCTTCTTCTGCAACTTGCCCAACCAGCGTCAATCAGAGAAGCGAAGAATAGCAGAAGAACAATTGGAAGAGACCTTGGAGGTCATCTAGTCCAACCCCCTGCCCAAGCAGGAGATGCTATACCATTCTGGACAAAGGCCTGTCCAGTCTCTCCTTGAAAACCTCCAGTGAGGGAATATCCACCGCCTCCAGAGTCAGTCGGGTTGTCCCATTGATCGATCGCTTTCCCTACCCCAGTCAATTAATTCTTCCTTAGTTCGAGGTTGTTTCTCTCCTTGAGAAAGTCGGTGCTATGGTGAAGTGATGATTCGTTTTTAACAAGCGGGATGATGGCTTACCTGACTGCAGCAAAAAAAAAAAAAAAGAGTTGCAAAATCAGGTGTGAGTCACTTACCTGCCTTGCTGAGCCACAGAAATCCTGGTCCCAATTGTGGTTGCAAATTGAGGACAACGCATGTACAGGAAAGTCAGTTAAATCATCCTTGCAAGTTGTTGTCCAGCCTTTTGAATGCCTGCAGAGTTGGAGAACCGCCCGGGCTCTCCTAACCACGCCCGCCATTGCTCCCCCTCCCCAATTGATCTGTTCCCCTCCCCTCTCTTGTCTGCGTTCCAGGTTCAGGTTCTCCTTTATTTCCTGCAACTGGAGACAATCCCCACCCCAGACAGCAAGAGGCAGAGCATCCTTTTCTCCACTGAGGTGTAGAAGCCAAAGGCTCCGTCCCTCCCTCCCTCCCTCCCTCCCTCCGACCTTCCGACCTTCCACCCTTCCCGTATCCTTCAGGAGGAGAGAGAGCCCTCCATCCTCCCTCCCTCTGTGGACCAAGAAGTCAGAGGAGGAAGACAGACGGTTGTCTTCAGGGGAAGATGATTCCTTTCACCCGATCAGGAAAAGAACCGGGAAGAGCAAACAGTCTGAGGAAGGAAAGTACCCGAAGGTATTCCCGGGAGGATCTTTGCAGTGGAATTCATGTTGCGTTGGGGAGAGTTTTTCCTTCTCGGGGGGCTTTTGAAGAGCTGAAGGATTCTCCTTCGATGGCCACCGTTGTGGAGTCTAAGGGAGTGCCACAAGGATGTTCATCCCATCATGGCCGCTACTTGCAAATTTAGACCTTGATTTAAATGTTTCTTTTTAATAAGTAAATAAATTAGGAGCTTCATGCACAATCAGGATTTTTTTTGAAGAAGAAGAAGAAATCTTTTCCTTGCCTTTTATCTTTTGACTCTCTTTGGGCGGAAGGTTTCACCGAAGAGTCATCCTCTAATCACTCAGAAGAGAATAAAGACCAGGGACTAGAGGAAGAGGCGGTGATGGTCAGCTCTGAAGGCCTTCTCCTTTTCCCGTGGGCCACAAAAGGATGGGAGGTGTGTGGAGAAGCTGCTGAGGTCTTCGGGCATCGTAAAGAAGATAATCTGCAAAACCTCCCCTTTCCCCAATGAAGGCCTCGTGCCCAGTTTTAACCCGACTGCAGCAGCAGCAGCGTAAGGACTTCAGCCGATTGGTGGGTTTCTCAGCGGTTGGGCCAAAGCCGGCCTCTCCCCTCCCAGCCGCTAAACAGTCCTCAGATCCGCTGGCGGGAATTGGGGGGGCAGGATTGGGCCTCTCTGCTCTTTCTTGGTTGGGACTTTGGAAAGACTTTTGCTTAAATGGAAAATATTTTTTTCACTGCCACCCTGTTTTTGCTGGGAAAGAGAGATGTTTTGATAAGATGTTTTAATAACTTGTACAATGATGATTGAGGGAGCATTTTATATTTTTCAGAAATTCCAACCGTTTGTTTTAAGATTGAACAGGCATCATTCATGAATTGTAATGCTGGGGGGTGGGGAATCAACACTGGCAGAAGCAGCCCAGAATCCTCACACAGGAAGGGGTCTCTCTTGGGAGTTTCACATGGACAGAAACCACATCCTTATCAGTCCCATGCAGTCATAAGCATAAGTTTCGTCTTGTTAATTCAAAGCTACTTTTACCGAGATGTTCAGGAGTGGCCAATGGGTGAGAGACCAGGAAGCTAAACTGACATTCTGGTTTTGCTCAGAGAGGTTATGAAGAGGGAATATGAGGCGTGTCCCCGCACAATTTCCCATACTTTGGGCAAGTAACGGAATTCTGCTTGTAAAAGGGGACTAAAGTCACTACTGAAGCCTAAGGCTCTGCTCTGATCTTTGGAGTTGTACTATTCAGCCCTTTTAACACTGGGAAAGAACCCATCCCGGGGGTGGCTGGATTGTGGTGTCTGACTATCTCAGCATCTCTCATACCAGGGAATATTTAAATAGGAATCCCGTATTGCTTTTTCCTCCCAGAAGTCTAAGAAGTTAGAACTCTGTTCTGCTGTCCTAGTTTGGATGGCGATGTACCTCAGTTGATGAAGATGAGATACGAAACCCTTTTGCTGATGTGCCCATATATTTGTTCCTCCTTTTGTTAAAACTGGATTTCCCCCCCGCAACTTTCTATCCTGGAAAGGGGCTTTCAGACAAACGGATAAGAGGATCAAGCTTTCCATGGCAGTGAACCTGCCTTTGTGTCGGTTGAAGGAGAAGGTTCATCCACGGAAGGTCCCTTCTGAAGTGCACCTCAGTGAATTAAGGGTCCTGAATAGGGGAATCATGTAAGATTTTTAAAAAATCAAAGCTGAATGTGATCGTATTTTTTATTGTTATTTGAGGCAACAAATATTCAATAACCCTATAAATGAAAGTCTAGACCAGGGGTGTCAAACTCGTGGCACTATGTTGTCGTTCTGTGACCTATTGCAACTTTTCCCCTTTCGCTAAAACGGGGGTGGGCGTGGCCAGTGCATGACGCATCCAGCCCACAGGCCGCAAATTTGACACCCCTGGTCTAGACAGAAGCTTTCTCATTCCATCAGCCAGTCCTATGTTTATTCTTCTAAGGTAACTGTTGTAGGTTACTCCATTATGAAGAGACCGGAGGAAAGGCAGCCAGGTTGTGACGACAGAAAGTATTTAGATAGCAGGTTTGTTCATCAGAACTGAACGACTCCCGGTTATCATCTTGGAGAGAAAAGGAGGATGGCTTGTTATCGTGTTGAAATGATTCGTGTTGGCCCAGGAGTCTCCTTCTTGGGCCTTGCTCAAGGTGAGGCATCAAGAGATTCACCCACAGAATAAGGAGGGGTCCTCCCCAAATGCCCTAGCATGCCAGCGAAGTATTTGGACTACAGTGGAAGGAACTTAGACCTTTCCCTCTTTTCCGAGTCCTCAGACAAGTATTGTAGGCTCTCCAAGTCGTCCTTATAGGTCCAGTAGCCTCGTATGAACAGCTGGCCCAACGGGATGGTAGAGATTGGGAGTGTTAATAAAGCTAATTTGAGTCACTAAAAGTCATTACAGGTTTAAGGAAAGCCACAGTGTTGTTTTGTGAACTTGAGGCATGTCTTGAAAATTAAAGTTTAAAGGGCTTTTATTTATTTATTTTATTGATTCCTTTAAGCAGCACGATTGCTGAATGGCTGCAGTTTCCTCCTTGAATTGTTATTCCATAATATCCAGAGCTGCAGGAATTGGCAAAGCCATCCCACCGAGGGAAATGGGCCAATCTGTTCTGCTTGACTGCTCTTCCTGGCATTTTTGATTTATGTATAGTTATTCTGTCCGTATTGAGTTAATGAACCTAGATAAAAGAAAAGACAGTGTGTGTTTTGGAGATCTGCAAAAGGACTGCTTTGATATCCAGGCAAATTTTACATGCAGGCATGTAGGTATGGAAGAGGTTGTATAATTTAAGCATTCATTTCAGTTTTAATTATAAACCTATGCTTTTCTGAAAAGTCATACTTGTGTGCTTCAGAAACGAATGCCTCAAATGGAACTGAGCCCCGGGGCTCAATTTCTGTCCAAGAAGTAGCAACATCAAATCCCTCAAGTTCTTCCAATCCCTTCTATTTTTCTAGGTCCTTAGTTTTGTGAAGTGGCTCCAAGAATTATTTTCCTTGACTCTGCTTTACTTTAAAACAGCCAGTGGCTGTATTTGTACAAAACACTGAATTGCAAAGTAGCCGACTGTGTTTTAATCTTACATGAATGAACCACACACAACCTCTGGCTGTTGCTGAATGACTTCCTGTTGGAGATCCAGACCCCAACATCTGGAAGATCTTGCAGGGGATGCAATTTTGTGCCAATCCAGCCCATGGGATTAGTTTGTGGTTCAGTGTGTTATGTAAACCTAGGAAACTGGTTTGAATAAACCGTGATTAAATTAATGGGTAAATGTGTTATCCAAAGACGGCCAATTACAAAACCCTTCCCCTCCCACGTCTTTTAACAATGAAATGATAAGGAAGTCAAGAGCCAATTTTACACCACTTTGATCGTCCTTTCCCATAAGTTTTGTCCCTCAGCAATTCTCCCCTCATTCGGTTCGTGCAAATCTTTGGGTATTTGGATTCCGATCCACTGATCAAGGGTCTACCTGTATTTTTGAAGGTCACAGTTGTCAGGCAGAAGCTTTTTTTCCACACCAGGAGCTTCACCTGCACCCTATAGGAATGGACTACAATTGGCCAGACAAACTGGGAGAAGAAAACTTGCCCCAAAGCCAGCTCAAAAGTCATCACATGAAAGCTTAGCCACCATTCAATGTCTATCAAATAAGCCCTATTCACTAGTTTCAGTGTATTGTTCATTTATTCATTTATGGCATATCATACATGGACTAGCAATATGTGTGTGTGTAAATATGTGTGTGCATACACACACACACACATATACATACGCAAACACACACAACACTTCACCTAGATCAGTAGAACTCAATAAAATATGAATGTTAAAAAGATCTGTTTGTTCAAATACCTAGATGTCTAGGCCACCTAACCACCTGAAGTACAGCATCATTTCTATTTTTAAAAAGCCAGCTACTGGACCAGTATAGGCCCTCATCTTAGAGCTGGCCAACTATGTTTGATTTGGGAGCCTGAGGGAGGATGCTACGAGTCACAGCAGGCAAGGCGTGAATCCTATTCAGGATTGTCCATTGCTGACGTAGTTCAAAGCCTGGTGCCCTTTTTGTGGGGTCATTTATAGTTTCAATATAGATGTATGATTATTGTTCATGCATAAAAGGAGACAACAGGTACGGTGTTGCTTTGGGTACATCAGAGCCGCCTCGAGTCACCGAGATTCCACTAGTCCACTCATAAGATTCATTCTCTGGCACAGACAACATGTTAAGGTTTATTTTGATTGGCAGATGGGTTTTGCACATAATGTTACGTGTTTGTGTCTGGAAAATAATCCAGTAGGGAGGGACTTCATGAGGCCAGTTGATGGCTAATGTGACCCTTTTGGTCACGTCCAACTCTTGTTGATTCTATGGGCCAGCTCTTTCCACGTCTTCTGATCTTACACGACTCATTTGAATTGTTTGCTGCTCTGGCTGGTATCAGTTTCGATGGTGTCCAGCCATTGTGTTCTTTGCTGGCCTGGTTTCCTTTTACCGCTAACTCTTCCAAAAGTAATTGGTTCCCCCGCATGACATAACCAAAATGAGACAGAATTTGGTGGTAGTGGTGGGGGGTTGAAACGGTTACACGGACTGTAACCATCTATGGCTGGTGCACGATCTTACCCCTGAATCCAGCCCATCTAGTTAGCTACGGTAAACCTGGAAGACTCTCAATGGTGTAAGTCCCAATACCAATGTGTCTTGTAAGCACAGCTTTTAGAGGAAGTTGGATGCCTTCCGACTGAATTTTCTAGAGGAATTTGATCCCTAAGGCAGCATTAACAGGATCCTAAAAGGCACTAAATCAAAGGTGTCAAACTCAATTTCATTGAGGGCCGCATTAGGGTTTTGTTTGACCTGGGGGGGGGCATAGCCAAGGTGGGCGTGGCCAGCTCAACGTCATTCATGTTGGGGGCCAGCGAAAAGGGCCCTCCCCTAAGTGACCAGCCCTGCCTTTTTAGCCTCAAAGGAGAGAAAAGGGGCTTGCCAGCAATTCCTCTTTGACCCCCAGGTAGCTTCCTCAAAAGGGATCCAGGAAACTATACAATGAAAAGTTCATAGTTTACTAATCCAGCCTGGTTGATTAATTCTTGCATTTCACTGGTCTAAAACTTTTAACCCAATTCAGCTTGAACGTTTTTTGAACAACCTGGAAAAATTGACGGTGTCTTGCATCAACTCTGAAACTCATAAACTCTGAAAATGAAGTTGACACAGTTGAGAAACACTGGCCCAGGGTGAAGCAGGGCACTCTGGAGTGGACATTCCAAAACACTGTGTGTGTGTGTGTGTGTGTGTTTTACACTAGAAGACACCCTACTCCTGTTGGGAAGTCTTCCTCTCAAGTGGCTTTGTCCGAGGCCTAAGACAGAAGCTGATGGTGTACTACAAAGCGTGGCATGTAGGCACCCTACGAAGGTCTCCCAGGGAGTAACAAGACCCCCTCCTCCTCTCCAGGAAAGGTTTCCGTTGAGTCTCTCACTAGCCTGTTTGATGCTCAAAGCAGCTTTGCACTCCTGGTGGGATTGTTGAGAAGAGAACAAGAGGCAGCTTCCAATTGTCCTGATTTAAGACACCGGTTGGATTATATTCTATTGCTTGGGTTTGCATTATATTGAATTTCAATATGACATGGTCATTCTTGCGCAACATTCCGGCAACTTCAACTCCCTCTATCACTACTTCTCTATTAGTAAGATTAAGGTCCGGTATAGCTTTTTCTCTAGTTCCCTCCTCAACTTTTTGGATGACAAAGGTTGGGGAGGGAACAAGAGGAAAAACTATGGCCCTAACAGTGTCCCAGATAGGAGGATGCTGTGAATCGTAGGTGCCATTCGTAATCTCTTGGAGGTGAGGATGGGGAGTTGTTCCCCAGCGTTCGCAAACAGCTGGCATTTGTCTGCCAAGGATGCTTCTGAGGATCCCTACCTGAGACCCTCCTGCCAGGGAGGCCAGGAAGCCGGCTGCCAAGGTGGTCCTTAAAGGCAGGCGCCTGATTCTAGCAAAATGGGGTCTGAGGTGAGACACCAGCCATGTGTGTTGATACCTGCCCTGAAGCACCTCCTGGCCTCAAATGTGTGTTTTCCTTGGCTTGGACAGCTCCTGTAGGAAAAGAAGGTGAGGTGCTGACAGGTGTGCATGTTCATATTCCATCCAAGGCACCTGGAAGCATAACAGCCTCTCAGGAAGCTCCCTCACAAAACCCACGGAGGGGTTGCAACACCAGGATGTGCGGCTTTCCTATCTCAACCTGGTAATAAGATAGCAAAACCGTTCATACCTGGGTCACCACCTGGGGGCAGTTTCACCTTTCCTCCTTTGAATCGGGTTGTTACTCAAAGTGGCATTTCCCGCTTTCATCTCGTTGACCCTGAAAATCCCGCTGGCTTCCAGCGGGGAGTCGCTGCCTGGGCTTCCCTTGGACCCACGTCAACAGGGAGATCAAAGGCAACTTCACGCTTTTTCTCAGATTCCGCGCGATCCCTGGGAGCGCCTGCGCTCGCCGGAGCCCTGCAGGGCGGCCAGTGGAGAGAGGGAGGAGAGAGGGAGAGAAATAGGAAAAGGGAGGAAGTGGGAATGATGGAAAGGAAGGAAGGAAGGAAAAAGGAGAAAAGAAGAGGAGTGGAAGAAAAAGGGAAGAAGGAAAAGGAGGGAGGGAGGAAGGGAGGAAAAGAAAAAGGAGAAAGGAAAAGAGGGATGGAGAGGAAGAAACGAAACGAGAGGGAGGAAAAGAAAGGAAAAAGGGAGGGAATAGCACTGCACAGCCGGCGAAGAGCAGCAGCAGCAGCTGACTGACGCCGCCCCTCCCTTTGCGCGTGCGCCCTCTCCTCGCCAGGCTTGGGGGCGAGGCGCGCTGTCGCGACCGCGTCGGCGCCTGCGCAGTAGCGCCCAACGCGCTGAGGGACCGGAGGAGGAGCACCGCGCCCGCCCGGTCTCCCTCCGAGGAAGGAGGCAGCTGCGCTTCAGGTAAGGCCGGGGCGGCGGCCCATCCCCAGGAGATCCTGCCCGCCGCGCCGCTCGTCCTCTGGCACGCTCGGCCTTTGGGGCCCGCAGAGCTCGGCGCGCGGGGCAGGTGGGCCCGGCCGGTCGGCCGGCGACGGAGCTGCTCCGGGAGGGCCGCGCGGCGGGCGGACGCGGCCCTGGCGGCGTTGGCCGTTTGCCCGCAGAGGGGCTGCTTCCCGGGCGGGGGAGGCGCGCCTGTGGGGCCCGGAGGGAGGGGAGGCCTTGAAGGCTCCCGCCGAGGGAAGGGCAGTTGGGGGCGGGGGGCTTCCCCACCTGGGTCTCTGAGGCAGGGGTCTCCACCATGGCCACTTTCAACCTGGCGGACTTCAACTCCCAGAATTCCCCAGCCAGCTGGGCTATGCCGGAGCTTTGCTGGGGGATTCTGGGAGTTGAAGTCCGCCAGGCTTAAAAAGGGGCCACGGTTGGGGACTCCTGCCCTAAGGTGTGTGTGTGTGTGTGTGTGTCCCGCAACTCCCAGAATTCCCCAGCCTGCGTCGCTTGGGATCCTGGGAGTTGCAGTCCGCCCGTCTCGGAAGTGGCCCAGGTTGGGCAGCCCACCTGAGCTCTGAGCAGGAGAGGCAGGCAGGTTGGCCATCAATCTCGGGTGATGAACTGAGTCTGATAAACAGCCTGGAGCTCTTGGGGGCGGGGGGAATTTGTCCCCCCTGCCTGTGCTCAGCTCTGCTCAATGCCAACCCTAAGCAACAGAATTTCATTTTAATGGATACCCGGTTAGTGTACATTCAAAGAGACAATAAAGTTAGTCTAAGTCTAGCCTTTTAAGGTTGGGGAGGGGGGGGCATAGGTTGATGCAGTTTTGGGCTAGATGCTTTAATAGAGAAAATGCCTGGTAGAGGGAACAGTGACTTTGACCTGAATGTTTTAGAATAGTATATTTGTGCTTTATGTCTTTCCCTCTTGTGTTATTGTGTTATTGACTGTCCTTTACTCTCATGACTGTGTCCCTTTGGCTTGGCCTGTTCCTCTTTGGTTTAAATCCTCTCGTGGGCAATTAATCAGTAAAAGTCCCAGATTCCTGGAGTGTGATGGGGATGCTGCTCCATGACAAACTCATTAATCATTTAAGGAAGAGAATTGGGACTTGACATAGTTTAAGTCACTAGAGATCTTTGTACCCGTAATTCAAACAGGGAGTCTGAATTGTGCTGGGCATCTGGAGTCTGGTGTATGAGATTTGGGTACTGTAATGAGATTAAAGCAGCAGGACTAATTGGGTTAGAACAGATGCAGTCTGTGGCAGATCTGCCTCTTAAGTAAAGGTCAGAACGAAATCTGAAATCCCTGTAAAATACAGGATGAAACCAGTATTCAGGTGGAAGCCAATGACTTCAAGTTGTTTGTTTGCTGGCCTCTTAAAAAAAAGATATGCTAAAGCTGTTGCTCAAACCTTTGATTTAAATGTGATTGGGCAAATTAACATAATTCTTAGCAAGAACTGGGTTTATTCAGAATATGGCGTGCTTGTGTCTGTCCAGCTAAATAGGTCTTATTGCAAGCAGGACCACAACAAAATGTTGCAGCTTATTCCTTCCCAAACTACAACTAGCTAGTATTGCAACCTCTTTCTCCTTCCCTACTTTCTGTAGTAGTCGTGCATGCCTGGTCTTCATTGAGTTGTCTGGCAACAGCCCACTTCTCTTCTTCCCCACCCCTTTTTTTGTAAAATAAAATAAATTTTATTTTTTGCAAGTCCCCTGTTTGTGAGTGGTGCTCTTTGGAGTATATAAAGATTGACATAGTGCACAGTTTACTGTTAGGGAGTAAGTGTAACTGGTTTTGAGTGTATTCTTAGATTTAAAATAATCTTGTAGTGGAAAAGTTAACACTGTTCTGAGCTTGGAATGAAGCACCTTTCACTCCAGAGCTTTGTTCCAAGCTCTGGACAAAATTCAGTGTGCTCCTTCCATGTTGTTCCAAGTATTCTGATATCCTGAAATTAAAATTCCAGTAAGCCATGCAGAATTTGTGGATACATTTATCATTAGAATAGTAGGCATGGGCATGGCAATTGGTTGGAGCTATTTGAGAAGGAATGGAGTAATTTGAATATTATTTATTATCACTTATTTAAATGTGTTATAGCCCGGCTATTCCGGAAAATTCTGGATAGTTTACAAAAGAGGGGAACTGGAGCATATCAACAAATTGTAGATACGTGGTCCCTTGTATAAGTACGTTCTATGCATTGAAGAGCTTTATATACCATGAAGAGCTTTGTAGGTGACAGTCAGCATCGCCCAGAAACCAACTGTCAATCAGTACACCTTGTGTAGCATCAGTGACACATAGGCTTACCTAGCCTAAAATTCTTGCCACTGCTGGTGCTACTGCATTTTGAATCAACTGTTTGGTCTTCAAAGGCAGCCTCCAAGGGTAGAGGGCATTATGCAGTGGTCGTCCAATTACGAGGTGATCAGGGCACGAGTGACAATTCTGAAGGGTCTCCCAGTCAAGGAAGGAACACACTGGATGAACCCCCAAATCGTGAATTGTCCCCATCCAAGATTAACAATGAAACCTCATTGACCCAGGGGGCCAAAAGCTGCATGCATTCAGGATTGACCCAAAGTCTGTTCCATTCCATCAAACCTGAACAGTTTCCAGACACTGGACTGATACTTTGACAGCTTCACTCTACATGGGGCTGCCCTTGAAGACCCACCAGTTGATTCAAAATGCAGTCATACCCGCAGTAGCAAGCATCCTTTGCTGCATATGCCTTTGGGTTAGATATAAGCAACCTTGTACTGATGATACCAAACCGATGGATGGCTTGACCGGTGGTTTCGTGTAAAGGTTAAGCAGGAGAAGGGAGAGTGTCAAGCTCTGAGTCATCCCACAAGTGGGATGGTCACAGGCATGATCCCTTCTTCCCTCCCTTAGCATAGTTGGGGGTGATCATTGAAGAACCAGCGTAGCATGGTGCCTCTAGCTTATGCAGAAGAAATACGCATGGTCGCTGGTGCTGCTGAGAAGTCAAGGAGCACAAGGACGGATGGGTGCATCACCCCCACCTTTGCTCCACCAAGATGGACAAGCGGAACACTTGGTTAATAAAGTCAGAGTGGGACATCATGTGACCATGCCACTTAGTGAGACCAATTCCAGCAGTCCCAGTTGCCATTGTTAAGAGGGGACCACACAGGACATTAAGCAAGAACCTCGCATGACTAGGACTTCCGACTTCCTCTTGACCTCCCCACTGACTTTGCTTGTAGGAAGCTGCCAAAGGAGGCCACCAATTGTGGTCACGTGACCATGGGGATGCTGTGATGGCTGGAATGCTGAGGACCTGTTGTATCTACTGCTCATTCAGCACCCTCATAAGTACGAACAGTCGCTGAACAAATAGACGTTAACTGAGAAACCCCTCAGTTACTATGCGTGCCATCCAGTCGAAGAGCAAACGATGTACAGGATGATACATGATTCATGTGATTAAAAGATCGTTGTGAGGGTAACCAAAACCGAGTTGCAGCTTGATGGTCTCCAGAGTACCCATTGGTTTACATTTTACAGGGTTGACTAGAATTAATCTCGTAGAACGGCCGTTGCCAGGAAAGAGATGATTAACAAGAAGCAGATTGAGCTTTGCATTATCACAACATCTTATCTCTCAAAAGAGCATGATAAGGGCGTGGCTCTGAATAATCAGAGTTTGTGTATTTAAATGAATGTTTATGTGTAAGCGTAGTAAGTGTACGGAAGCGTTTTTTCTTGGCCTGAAAGCTATCTCCAAGCCATTTTTATATACTTGTGAGTGCAGAGAAGAGCATGGTCAGCCAAGGTTCTGGTTGGGGCCATTTTATTAGGAAAGAACAGGGTGGATCCTGGGCAAGTTCATCTCCAAGGAAGATTGAGCCTTCGTAGGTGGAGTGAGGGTTGGCATCAGGCCCGTGAAGTTTATGTTCCTTCTTTTTCTACCATGTATGGGTTCTGTTCCTTCCACATTGTAAAAATGGCCGTCCTAGAGCTTAAGTCCTGACCAAACCATGATTGCAGGTCAAAGCTTGGAGGTAATTTGAAGAGTCAGGACTTTCTTCACCCTCTATTGCAAAAGTGGCTCTATAGAAACAGCAGGTCTGTGGTCTTCTCCCCCCCCACCCCCAAAATAATAACAAAATTAGCCTGAACATGAACAGGTGCTCATAGCACCTTAATATTTCTCTGAGACTTCTCAGTAGGGTTACTTAGAGAAGTAGTTGTCTGGTCTAGGGAGAAACCATGTTCCAACTAACCCTTGAGGTTCTAACTCAGGAAGGAAACTTTTCCAGTAGGTTGGAAATGCAGCAAAGACCCCCCAGGGCAGATTCTGCAGAATAGATGTTAGGGAGCTCCAACCTTGCTCACAATCTGTAACAGGAAGGCAGCCTTCCATATAAACTGAAGCTGCTCAGCGGTTAGTGGAAGGAATTGTAATAATCTGGCAGGAGGACAGCTACAGTTTGAGTCACTGCAGCCAAATTAGCAACTGTCAAAACAACTTTAAAGTTAACATTCTGTCACACAGTGCCACAAATTACAAGACTAAATAGTTTATTACAGCAAAAATCTTGTGGGATTAATAACGGTATACAGAAAAGTATGTAGGGTATTTTAATTATGTCAATTATACTGATGCAGCTTTTGCCCCAACAAGCTTGTTTGAAAACTAATTATCTTTGTTCTATTTCATTTCTACATGAAAAACTTGCTTCTCATTTTTCCTTGAAAAATGAATATGAAATTGCAAATACAGGGAAATGAGAGAAACTTTGGTGCCTTGGCCTAGTCCATAAACTGTAGGCTCAAAAAAAGTTCTACAGATTTCAGAAAGGAAGTGTTAAAGCCAATGTAACTTGTACTGATTTTCTGATTACTAAATCTTCTCATTTATATTTTCAATTAAGGGCCTCAATGCTACTGCTCCAAATGTATAAACATTTTTGGAGTGATGAGAATCAGAGTGAAGTATGAATAAAGATTTCAGATCTGTTGGCCAACAGTTGCTTAGCATCCAAGTAACAAATTGTAGGGCAAAAGCTCTGCTGAATTTGGGAAAAGCAGAAAGAAGAAACAGTGGGTTTATACTGCTATGGGTATAAGAGGAAACACTTCCATCACACTTACAGAGTGCAAACCATTTTTAGTGCAATTTCAGTCTGCATGTAGTAAAGATACTTATGAAGTAAAATGATGTCAGTGTTTGAAAGGCTTCTGCTGGGTTTGGGCTGAGCTGAGCAGGGTCCAGGGAGACCGAAGGTATTACTGTAGGATTTATCGTCTGGGCAAAAAGTACAAGGCATGGAGGGGCTATTTTCAGGTATGTGAATAGTTATTATATATAAACAACAGTACCCTCACTTTTTGAAAATCTGTTTTCTCTCTGCAGATTGTTAGTAAATGTATATCAAGCAGGCAGCCAAGAATGAAGAAAGCAAGCCGGAATATTAGTTCGGTGCCCAAAGTGCCTGGCATAACTAAGATGCAAACAGTAGAGAAAGCTAAAACAGAGACCAGTTCCACCACGTCTGCAGTAACGAAACTTCCAAAAGCAGGAACAGCAGCCTCCTTCCTGAAGGTATCGGCACAGTAGATCTTTTGAAATACAAGGGGGGTGGGGGATATCAACAGAGGGCCCTGGCATGAGCAGCAGAGAAAATGCTGCAAATATCTGTGCATATCGACAGCTTTTTTATTGTTGCCTCCTGTACGTGGCGTTATATGTTCTCTACAGATAACAGGTTTCCTAACTGCAGAGAAATACAGACACAGAGGAAGCAGAACCTGCACTGTTTATGAAGTCTTGCAGATAGAAATAATTTTGCCCTCTTCGGTGATGCTATTGCAAAGTTGTGTTGGATCCAATTAATATTTCTAGATTTTCACCCTGTTCACATAACACACTTATTTGAGTCTGGCACTTTTCTTAGGTATAGCAGCTAGTCCTGAAGTTCCAACCAGTCATTCAGCAACTGTTCAAAGTTATGATGGCATTCAATAAGTGGCTTTTACAATTGGTCCTTTAGGTTCTGGCTGTGGCAGCAGTCCTGGGGCGGGGGAAGGGCCATTTGGGTACTTAGCAACCAGCTTGCGCCTGCAATGGTTGCAGCATCCCAGGGTCACATGCAGTCATCACAAATTGCAGCTTTTCCTGATGCTTCTTGCAAGCAATGCCAGTGAGGAACCAGCAGGGAGGATCGCAAGTCACTTCCTCTGCTTTGTCTTCCGAGGAGCCCCAGTGCATCGCAAGTAGTGCCTGGAGCCACTCGGGACCCTCACCCACATTCCCTAGGCCCCATTTGCAGCACCCCCCCGTACAGCAATCGTGCACCCCACTGCGCTCCTGATCTGAGGGTTATAAAAAGATTAAAAACATAGCAGTTAAAACTAATAGCCCATGATGGCCAATAGTGCAATGCTACCATAAAATCACATCCACAAGGTAACTCTAAACTCCTGACCCAAATGCCTGGGAAGCAAGCCAGATTCTCAGTGCCTTGCAAAAGGCTGAGTCGGGGCTACCTGTATCTGTAGGGGATGCTGTTCCCTAAGGCAGGTGCTGCCACAGAGAAAACTTGATTTCTCTGTCCAACAAGATGGTGTATTTCAAGTGGAGGGGACCTGAACTACGCCCCCACTGCTTGCCCCATTCAGCGCCACAACTGGTGGGACAAGCAGAAATCATGGGAGAAAGACAGTCCGACTCTAGAAAGGAAATAATGGTCTTGGCAGAGAGTGACGTTCTATTACCAAGGCAATAAACAGATAAACATAAACACAAGGTAGAGATTTATGAAAGCAGCCTTCTATTCCCGATTCATATGACGGTAGAAGGGAGGAGGGGAAGTATATTCAGACTTGCAAGATTTTGTGACTGCAAATTTTTGAATAAAAGTGGTTAGGGTTGGGCTTGTCTGTTTCCTGATCCAGTCTACATTGTAGGGCCGATACATCTGCAAATAGTCTGACTCTAGGCCACTTGGATGACACCTGGAAGCTTCTGGGAGCCAGTGCAGCTTGCAGAATAGGGGTGTTAGATGGGTCTAGCAAGAGGTACAGAAAACTACCTGCGCTGCTGCGTTCCGGACCAGTAGCAGCTTCCAAATGATCTTCAAGGGCAGCCCCATGTTGAGGTCATTGCAGTAATCCAATTGGGAGGTGACTGTGGCATGAGCTTCATGGGCCAGAAAATGGCACATTCGGTGCATCGGCCAAGCTGTGCAAAGGCACCTCCAGCCACGGCTGCCCCTCGCAGGAACCGGGAGGACCTTCTGACTGGGGAAATGTACCCCCAGGCAGAGCCAGAGGTGGGAAATCTCCCACGGGGGGCGGGGACGGGACTTCAAACCACCGCTGCTGCTGGCCAGAGTGGAGCCAAAGCTAATTTCATATCCCGCCCCTCACAGCCTGGGCCTTGGCAATGTTGCTTGGTCAGCCAGGAAAGGTACAACCGGGTATCAAATAGGATGTCAGGGTTCCAAATAACATTCCCATAGCAAACAGAACTCTGGTGGATTCCTCAAAGAATGATTTTATTAGATATGTCACATTGGCACAGGCTGGTGAAATCCGGCTCTGACTATTCCTAATTAAAAGTAAAAGTTTTTCACTTTCTCAAGCAGTCACATGGTCCAATCAGGATACTGTCCCGTTGCTAGGTGACTCCAGTCCCCTCCTTCCAAGCACCTGCAGGAATGTCCTTGGTTCCCAAGAGGAAGTATTTCGTTTTGACCACAACACCCCAACTATCTCTTATTTCCCCTCCCTGTCCCTTTTCTCCAGGGTGTCAGCGCTGAAGTCTCAAAATGGCCTCAGTCAGGCCAGCTTCTGGGTTGACATAGGAATGGTAATAGCAGAATTGGAAGGGACCTTAGAGGTCTTCCAGTCCAACCCCCTGTTCAAGGAGGAAAACGTATCTCATTTCAAAGTAAATGTGGTGAAGTAGTGCCCCAAAACACCCCCCGCACGTGGGCTTCAAGCGTGACCCCTCCTTGCCACCAGCACTGACTGGAACCAACCCTGAAAAAAGTTGATGAGGTGGGTACAGGGCTCCTAAGGAAGGCTGGACAGATGCCACGATCAGTGATACTGAATGAGATCAAGGAGGACCAGGGTGGACGCCCTGTCTCTATCCTGAGCCTGCCCGAGGTTACCCACTGCAACCAGTGCCGTTCCAGTATTGTCACTGGGCTGGTTCCTGACTGAAAAGAAGGCATATAATCTCTCGCTTTCAGGGACCTTTGGACCTGTCAACCAACCACCTTCTCTAAAAGGGGAAGGTTGAAGAGGGTACAGAAAGGTCCAGCCCTGGGCTTCAAGGCAGATGGGAGCATCCCCTCCCAGGAGACCTTGACCAACCAGGAGGAGCAGGGAACTGAAATACGGGTGGTTGAACTCACAGCCCCAAGAGCCCCGTTCAGTGCTCAGACCAACATCTGGCCTGGTAGGCTTGAACCCTTCCCGATAACTGGGCCAGGCTGTGCCTCAGGCAGTTGCAGAAGACCGGTCCAGTCAGATTCCAACTCTGAGCAACTTACCCAGCTGGTGGCGAGAAGAGTTCTCAGCACAGCCCTGCAGGTATGCATCCCTGGGGCCTCTCCTCGCCCAGGAGGGACCGAGCTGCTCTGGCCACTGCTTCACCTTTGCATGACAGGCATAGATGTCACACCACCCAGGATTTGGTGTGCCTTATTTGTTGAATGGGGCTGCCAGCACTCAGGAATTCAGGCCTGCCTCTGTTTGAGTGATCATTAAAAATTCATGCATAGTAATTATAAGTCTGTGTTAGCAAATAATAACTAGGGTTTGAAGGCTTACGGTTTATTTACATGCCACTCGGTCTATTAAGAATGATGTGGGTTAATTAAAAGGATGGCATTACAATTCACATGCCTGTCATAGTTATTTGCTTACATTGTTCCCTGCCAAACTGTCAAGTTTTAAGGAGGCTACCCTGACTTGGGAAAATAAGGGAAGTAAAAGAATACCGTAGAAGCAGAGGTGATTTGAATAAGCTGCTTCACTGGGTAGAAAATAACTTTGTTTTCGCCCATTCAGTTTTTTCTCAACAAAAACTCTCTTTGCTTTACACTGGCGGAACCTGTTCAGCTAGTTATGGGACTGTTCATTTTCTGATGCATGGCAGTTTGTGGGCACTGCAAAAGGAAATCATTACATCCATCTAAGGAAGGAGCTTAATATTTCTTCTATGTTTAGAGCAGCTCAGCAATAAAATCAGTGCGAGCTTTCCGAGTTTTGAGTGCAGGTAGTCCTTGAATTTTGACCATATGTTTAGCAAACATTCGAAGTTCCAGAGGCGCTAAAGAAATGGTGGGTAGAACCCGTCCTTGGCGTTCCAGCTGTCCCAGCATCCCTGCGGCCGCCTGATCACAATCTGGGCTCGCACTTATGACCGGTTGCAACGGCCCACGATCATGTGATGGGCATTTGTGACTTCCAGGGCTGACTTCCACAGAAGGCCAATGGGGAAGCCGGCAGGGAGTCCCTGGGGGACGCCTCCGCCCCCCCAGCCACTCCCCCAGCCCCAGTCCTCCTCCCTCCCCCTCCTGGCGTCGGCCTCCCTGCCCACCTGCTTGAGAGCCGCTGCGTTGGTTGTGGGAAGCAAGCAGGAAGCGGCCTAGTGGGATTGCCGTCACTAAGTGATGCAGTTGGGCTTAATTTCAATTGCTTAGCGATTGAATTCTGTCGCAAGTCGAGGACTGCCTATATATGTTTTCAAATTAGTTTTTTCAGTATTATGCCCGGTATGTAATTACGTTTTTAAAAAAGGTATCTTTTTTTAAAAAATTTCCAGTATTGTATATCATAGTCCTTTCCCCTTCCCCTCCTCCGCCCTCTTCCCTTCTTCTCTGGATATGCCAGAGTTTGGTTTGTTCTCAATTTCAAAATGATTTTGTTCGGCCTGTTTTTATCCTTTTTTGAAGTTTTGTCGTTTCCAATAAATTAATGGTTTAACTGTATTTAGTTCTTTCAGTGCTGTTTTTATGAATCTCTTAGTGATGATTTAAACATAGCTTTTACCCAAGTGCTGTGATCAGGTTAAATGCAGAGTTATGAATCTGGTGGTCTTAACATATATATATCCTGGTTGTACAGTTTTTAACTGTTATTTGTTTTAATTTGTTTTACATTGTTATTTGTATATGTCTTTAGGTGTTGTTCAGTTGGATGTTGTGGAAGACCACCTTATTTCGTTGTTCTCACGTTTCTGAGTACAATGACAATAAATTTATCTATCTATCATCTATTATGGCCTTTTTTCTGATTTGCAGCATGCCCAGCTAGGATCCCTATAAGCTTTACGACACGTCTCCCAAATAGTTGTCTCTGACATCCCTGGAGTTGTCTCTGACTTTTTTAAAAACAATCTGCATTTCTGCTGTGGGCTCCCTTGAAGTCCTCCAGCCGCTCTATCGTGACCTCACCCTCTGAAGGTGGGAGGAACTTCTCCCCGGCTGCATTTGGATGCCAAGAGGATGACCTGTGCTGGTCACCATTTTCGGGGTGGATTTTTGCAGTCTGAATCATGAAGCTCTTTCTACGACTTGACCTATTTAGTTCCTTAAGAGACTGTTCTTACCTACGCAGCATGCATGCAATTAACCTACTTAACTTTAAAAAAAAAAACTTTAAAAAAACAGATGTAGGGATGCAGAGGGTGAGAAGGAATGTTTAATCTGGGAAGGTCTGTTATAGATGAGAGTGGACCCTCCGTAAAAAGGAGGGGAAATTTCTTCCGTTGTGTTGCGGGGATATTTTTATTTTATTTTTTTCAAGTCATCAGCCATCCCTGTGCCTTTCTGCAATAGATAAATGGAAATGTTCTCACCTGATCATAGCAAAAAAACAGACAAAAGATTTTCATAACCACTTTATGCAGATAAAAAGACAAAATCTAAAAAATTGCTAGCAGCTATAGATGCATTTTTTTAAATATGTGGGCTGGAAACAATGTTAAATCTTCTGTGAAACCTCTTTTCATTCTGACAATTTTTGTCCTAAATTCAAATGCAGATGCCAAAATATTCTTTTTTTTTAATACTTTGTCTTACTAGTCACTCTGAGAGAGAAATGCCCTTATTCAAAGGCACAAACACTCCACAGAAATAAGAACGGCCTGGCATTGGGAAGGCCAGTTTTATGAAGGCATTTTTGGCCATACGTCATGGCACCTTGGTAGCTGAGGATGCCTCCAAGACTTCCTGTACAAATAGTCCTTCATTTATGACCACAGTAACCCCCAAATTTCCGTTGCTAAGCGAGAGAGGTGTTAAGTGAGCCTTGCCCCATTTTACAACCATTTTTGCTATAATTGTTAAGTGAATTATGCAGTCATTAAGCGAATCTGGCTTCCCCCATTGACTTTGTTTTCAGAAGCAGGCTGGGAAGGCTACAAATAGTCATGTGACCCCAGGATAGGGCAGCTGTCATCAATACATGCTAGTTGCCAAGCACCCAAATTTTGATCATGTGACCATGGGAGATAGCAATAGCCATAGCCCTTAGACTTGTATACTGCTTCACGGCCTTCTCTACGGGGTTTACAGAGCCAGCATTTTGCCCCCAACGATCTGAGTCCTCATTTTACCCACCTCAGAAGGAGGGAAGGTTGAGTCAACCTTAAGCCTGGTGAGATTTGAACTGCCAAATTGCAAGCAGCCGGCAGTCAGCAGAAGTAGCCTGCAATACTGCACTCTCACCACTGCGCCACCCAGGTGGCCAGGATCGTGTGAAAACTGGTCATATGTCACTTTTTCCAGTGCTGCTGTAACAGTCACTAAACGAATCTTTAAGTCGAGGACTACCTGTAGAGGGGTGAAATTCTGCTCAGATGAACCTCTGAGGCATTGAAAAGTGTGCCATTCTTTCCCTTCAGGGAAGAGGATTCCACTGTGTTTTATATGCAGGAATGCTGGTTTAAAATGCTGGTTTAAAATGATCATTGTATTTTAATTCCAAATCTTTTACATTTATTTTCATGTATCATATGCCACCCATTAGACATGTGACTCTTGGCATGCCTGCCTGTAGCTGAGCCTCGGACCAGGCACGCTTAGCACTTAACGCTTTATCCCTGTCCTGCAGACAAAGAGCAGCGACGATCTTCTAGCTGGAATGGCCGGAGGGGTGAACGTCAGCAACGGTGTCAAGGGGGGCAAGAAGAACGTTTCTACCTCGACAGCCCCGTCTGCTGCGGGGAGCACCGTCGTGAATCCCGTGGAGAGCAAATCAAAGCCCACCGCAGGTACAGGTGCAAAGGTCTTTTTCTTAAGGCCACTGGGGCTTATCTAGCAAGGGACGTTGGCTGCCCGGTGCTATCCCAAAGGCGCTTTTTTTTTTTTTTTTCAAGAGGCAGCTGGACTTTCTGGTTTTTCTTCGAAGATGTTTCGCTTCTCGTCCAAGAAGCTTCTTCAGCTCTGACTGGATGGTGGGGAATGGAAGGGTTTATACTCCTTGCAGACAGCTGGACATTTGTACCCTTTTAGCCAGTTGTTAGGGCCACCTGGAGATTTATCAGTGTCATCAGGGTCTCCTGAATGGTGCAAATGGGTGTGGCGCCTTCTTGGAACTGCTGAAAGGACTGAGTTGTGGACTGAAGATAGATGACGTCCTATCCCTCCCCCTCTGTTGAGGGAGGGGCTGTTCAATTTGGACAGAGATGGCCTCTTTGACCCCTCTTTCACACCAGCGGTCCTCTCTGTCCCAAATCTGGACTTTGCTGTCTTCAAAAGAGCGGCCTGTCTTTTAAATGAAGCTGGACTGCTGAATCTAGTCCCAATGTGTTTGTTCTCCTGTGTTGTGCCATGCGCTTATAAAGTGGTTGTTTTGTTTCCCCAGTGTACAGATCTGCACATGGCTCACTGCATTGTACTGCAGGTACCACGTTGCTCAGTTTATGCGTGGGTGCTTTATCTTTGGGGTGGACAAGCCTCAGTGTAATTCTCGGGTTTGAAGTGTGCGTGTCTGTTACGTTGGCTGAAGATCCTCCTGAGCTTTCCCAATGTGCCTGCAACGTACAGGACGACAACGTTGCTTCGTTTATTGTTCTCTTCGTTACCTGTTATGGGGGGGCTCCTGAAGAGTCTTTTTTGAGATTTGATGAAGGCCCACTTGAGATAGCCACACATTCTGAGGGCTTCCTTGACGTGTTTTCGTTCTTTCTCTTCCCCATCTTTGCTTAGTAGGCAGGCCTTCAGCTCGATGGTGTAGGCTTCTGATGACTCCCATTTTGTGCTCCGGTGGGTGGTGAGAATCAAAATGTAAACATTGATCCGGGTGGGTGGGTTTTCTGTAAACGTCAGTGTTAAGGCTCCCGTCTTTCTTAATGTGTACTGCACAGTCCAGGAAGTCTAGACTATTTTCTTTAACATCTTCCCGTGTGAATTTGATGTATCTGTCCACAGAGTTGATAGGTTTGGTGAGGGCTTCCAATTCCTGTGTTTTGACCTTGGCCCAAGTGTCGCCCAGATACCTATACCAGTGAGGGGGTGGATTCCCGTGAAGGAGTCTAAGGCTTTGGTTTCTACCTCTTCTATGTTTGACCCCCGATGACACAGATAAAAGTGACTCTGATGACACAGATAAATCTCCAGGTGGCCTCAGCGACCCTCTCAAAGGATGCAAATGACCAGCTGTCTACAAGGAGTATAAATCCTTCCATTCCCCACCATCCAGTCAGAGCTGAAGAAGCTTCTTGATGAGAAGCCAAACCTCTTCAAAGACAAACTAGAAAGTCCAGTTGCCTCTTGGAAAAAGAACCTTTGGGATAAACCACAACTAAGAATCTCCATAGACACGGCACGGTGCTAATTCTCATTAACAGCTAGCGGTGCCCAGTTGACCTTCTCTGGGCTCAGAACCAAAGCAGGCAGGGGAGACCACCATGTCATTTCAGTTTGACTAGATTGACACGTTTTTTTTTTAAATGTGAAAAGTCAGTCGCCAATCATGCCATTATTCCTGAGAAATCTACACGGCTGGGTCTCAATGAAGGGAGTTCAGCTCGGCTTGAAGGGGGCTTGTTCATACGTCACAGCCCTACTAGTGTATATGACATGAATTCGTATTCAGTTACCCAGCCTCGTGAACGGATTACCTGCTTGTGCATTTGTTTTATTTTAAAATTAAGTTTATTGTTGGCTACAACTGAACATGATATGTAAATTAGCAAACAGATTACTACTTACTTTCCATGCCAGAGCTACAAAATTATTTTGAATTCTGGTTTTGGTTTGGAGGAGGAGAAGTAAACAATAGTGCTTGTGAAAGGAAGATCTTGGTACAGATCATCAGTGCAACTGGAAAAATGAAGAGCCCCATTTGATCATCTGGATATGAAACTCAGAGACTTATCAGGGACCTACTATGTTGTTGTTCCCCCTATTTGTAGTATATATAGCTACTCAGCATTAACTTTTATGCCTTAATGTGGTATGATTATTTTTATTTTGTACGTTGCTACGCACAATTGTTTCCAATCATTAACTTTTAAGTATGTGCATTAGAGTTTATAGGCACATATTCCTGAAAAAAATACTTTACCTTTTTCAGAATTGTGTCTTTACTTACCAATTTTCTACTTTTTTTTAAACCACACAGGTATGAATTCTTCAGCGAAGCGTAGCACTTCATCTGGAAATAAGGAATCCAGCTCTTCTCGGGAAAGAATTCGTGACCGTTCGCGACCAACTCAAAGCAAAAAACTGCCCCTGACTGGTCAGACGAGCAGCGATGTCCTCCTTGCGAAACGTTCCCGCAGCCGTGCCAGCCAGGATTCCGATGTTCGCATGAGCAAGTCGAAGTCAGACAACCAGATCAGTGATAAATCTGTTCTAGAGGCGAAAGTGAAGGATCTCTTGATGCTAGCCAAAACGAAAGACGTGGAGATCCTCCACCTAAGGAACGAACTAAGGGAGATGCGTGCTCAGCTGGGCCTTCACGAAGACCCATTTGAGGGTGATGACAAGTCCGAGGATAAAGAAGCAATTGTGATCCACCAGCCGACGGATGTGGAATCCACGCTGCTGCATTTGCAAGAGCAGAACTCTGCCATACGGGAGGAGTTGAATCAGCTGAAGAATGAAAACCGGATGCTAAAAGATAGATTAAACGCCTTGGGTTTCTCTCTAGAGCAAAGGTTGGATAATTCCGAAAAGCTGTTTGGCTACCAATCTCTGAGCCCGGAAATGACAACCGGCAGCCACAGCGATGGTGGAGGAACCGTTACTTCTTCGGTAGAAGGTTCCGCTCCTGGTTCCATGGAAGACCTCCTGAGCCAGGACGAGAATACCTTGATGGACAATCAGCACAGTAACTCCATGGACAACCTAGACAGTGAGTGCAGCGAAGTGTATCAGCCGCTCACGTCCAGTGACGATGCTCTGGATGCTCCCTCGTCCTCAGAGTCGGAAGGATTGCCGAGCATGGAGACCTCAAGAAAAGGGAGCAGCGGCAACGCCAGCGAAGTGTCCGTGGCTTGCTTGACGGAACGGATTCACCAGATGGAAGAGAATCAGCACAGCACAGCGGAAGAACTCCAAGCAACGCTCCAGGAACTTGCAGATTTGCAGCAAATCACGCAGGAGTTGAACAGCGAGAACGAAAGGCTTGGAGAGGAAAAGGTGATCCTCATGGAATCTTTGTGTCAGCAAAGCGACAAGTTGGAACACTTCAGCCGACAAATCGAGTACTTCCGCTCTCTTTTAGACGAGCATCATATATCCTACGTTATTGATGAAGACATGAAAAGTGGACGCTACATGGAGCTCGAGCAACGTTTTATGGACCTGGCGGAGAATGCCCGCTTCGAAAGGGAGCAGCTTCTGGGTGTCCAGCAGCACCTGAGCAACACTTTGAAGATGGCCGAACAAGACAATAAGGAAGCCCAAGAGATGATAGGGGCGTTGAAGGAACGGAATCACCACATGGAGCGAATTCTTGACTCGGAGCAGAAGAGCAAGGCCGCTCTGGCGGCCACCTTGGACGAGTACAAGGCTACCGTCTCCAGTGACCAAATTGAGATGAACCGGTTAAAAGCGCAGCTGGAACACGAGAGGCAGAAAGTCGCTGAGCTCTATTCCATACACAAATCGGGGGATAAGTCAGACATCCAGGACTTGCTAGAGAGCGTCCGGCTTGACAAAGAGAAAGCAGAGACATTAGCCGGCAACTTACAGGAAGAGCTTGCTCGGACACGTAACGATGCCAATCGTCTCCAGGATGCCATCGCAAAGGTAAAGGTCTGAAAGTGTAACTGAATAGGAAGGCTTTCCCGGGTGTGTTGAAAGTGGGAGGCAGACAAATCACTTGGAAGCTTCTGGGAGCCACACGCACGGCTTCCGGGACCTGTCCTTTGGTTCTCCCTTAAGTGCCTAGAGCCTGAGCTGCTCAGCCCCCGGACAGACCCTACTCCAGACCCACTCTGTCCTTCAAGGTTAGGGCCTCCCTTTCCCTCAGAAGAATAAAGGTAGTAGTGCCGTCCTTACATTTCAGCTGTGAGCAGGTATACACACATAGATGTGTCCAGTGGTGATGAGAGGGTTTTCAGTATCCCGGATAAAAATTGGAACTAACCCTAGTTGAGTTTTCCACATCAGGGAGCGTACATGATTGGTATGTCTTAGGCAGCAGTCTTCGACATTGATAGGAAGCTAGTAACTCTTCACAGATTCAGTTATTTGCAATATCTAGCATGGCAGCATAAAGGGAGACTTCAGCCGAGATGGCATTCTCCAGCATTCGATACAAATCTAATCCTGGATGCCAGGGTTGAAAATCTGTTTGGAAGAAGCAATTACAGTCTGGTCATTTGTCTTAAACTAGATAGAAGATGAGTATCGAGCTTTCCGAGAAGAAGCCAAAAAGCAAATTGAGGATCTGAACGTGACCTTAGAGAAAATACGCGCAGATTTGGAGGAAAAGGAAACAGAAAGGAGTGACATGAAAGAAACCATATTTGAACTGGAGGACGAAGTGGAGCAGCATCGAGCGGTGAAACTCCACGACAACCTCATCATCACTGACTTGGAGAGTAAGTAGCCTCTTCTCGGCTTTCCCTGGGACTTTTGCAGTTGCTTTTCCCTTGGGGGGGGGCGGGGAGAAGGGTCAGGTTCTTACAACAATTAAATCACTGCAAGAACATTTAAGAAAACGAATTCTTCCTTTCCTTAATGTCCTTGCAGCGCTTTAAATGTTAGCATTGTTATTTTCTAGTGGGAAAATAGATGTCCCCGGTTTGACTAGGATGCCTGAATTTGAATTAGTTCGATTGTGACAAGGCGACATTTTCACCAACAGCTTTCTCTAAAGAAAAAGGGTTACTAGAGAGATGGTTGCTGGTCTGGATTGGGAGGGCAGATCCATCTGCCCTATTCTTTGGCCGGATCTCTCCTTGGTCCAGATGAGATGGATTGTGGGAATTGTAGTTGTACAAATTGTAATTAATTTTTATTGCCTTTTTGGTTGATTTCATGTGACTTTATCCATGCTTTAATCATTACATTTGTCCTGTAAAAATTATATTATCAACACTGTACTGTAAAATTGTAATTTAACAAAAAAAAAAAAGAATGCATAAAATAATTAACTCACAGTGTTGTGAACTGGAAGGAAAATTGGAGGTTATAGATTATCCAATCCAACTACCAGGGTAGGAATCCTTTAAATCACCCTTTCAAAGAGAGCAAAATGGCTGCCATTTGAAAACTTCGGGCGGAGGGGGGGTAGCATAAGGCCAAGAAGGGGGCTTTGGAAGAGGATCTCTCTCAATAGTTTGCTGCAACTTGATACAGAACTATTTACAAACAACTTTGCTTTTTTCCCTTTTTCTTAAAAAAAAACCCTGTTTTTTACAATACAGTGAGAATATAAAAGCAAGATGTATATAACCTACTTAAATTATCTAGGAGACTTCAAATAAATGCAGATCTTCTGAATGTCATATCTTCTAACCCATCCTGCTTTAAATATCGGTGTCATCAGAATGGGAGAGAGAGAGAGAGATCAAATCTGCAGATACATTAGATTTCATTTGTGAAAGGAATGTATCATAGACGCAAATAAAATAGAGATAGCACGGATGTTTATGAAATCAAAATGTTATAAATGTGGGGATTATTAACCTGCGCTTCGAATAGATGTAATACTCTGCTTCTTTTTGAAATATTAAAATAGAGTAAGGGAACGGATTTGAAAACAAATTTTAAGCAGCCTAAAGTTTTATTGACACGGGCCTCAATTATTTTAGTATGGCACTGTAGAAAATATTGTCTTGGGAGAGCTTTAGAGTTAAGATTAGAGGTTTAGAATTTACTTGGGGCAGCAGGATATGGAATGCAGGTAATTTGGGACAAAATGGATTATAAGCTTTTCAGTGGGAGGGGATGTGGGAAGCGAAGGGTAAAATCGGGACATTTGATGTGGGTCAAAATGATAATTGGGGTTAGGGATGTAGAAGAGGGTGAGGGTGAAGGAAGATGGTGTAGAAGGGATGCCAGGCATTTCAGAGAAGCCATTTGGACACTAAAGGAGCTCAGGAACCCTGGGCACTCGGTCCTCAACGAGGCATCACGAGAGCTGGGCTTCAGGCGATTAGTTGAAGGACGACCTACGGCATGTGAGCTGCGGAGACAGCACGGCCAGCAAGCCTCCTTAGAATCTGCCAGGGAGCGTTGGGCATTGTTGTCCTGAGTGCTAGAAAAGTGGAAGGGAGAGAGAGTGTGGCTTTGAGCTTGCAGGGTCCAGCCTGAAATGAAACTGAGAGGCAGGGATGGATGGCCCAGAGGCTGGATAAGAAGACTACGGAGTGCTGATCAGTGGTCTGGAGAGAGGTGGGTAGTCTTGGCTTGGCTGGGAAGAATATGACCGACGCTCCCTGGGTTGTGCTCTCCAGGGGGTGCTGGAGAGGGTTGATGAGGGCACCCCCTGAGATGAAGGAAGGGGCCAGGAGGGGAGATCTGGTAGGGTTGGTGGGCACTTCCCAGCCTGAGATATTTGAGGGAGATCGGAGAGAAACTTTAGTTTGATAGGCAGGCAAGGCAAGAAGGGTGGTTGGAAGGAATGCTTATTGTGTATGTAATTAACCAGCCTATCCTGGGGAAGTGACCACCCAAGGTGGCTAACGCTGGTGCAATGAATGCAGCGCCTGAAACTTAAGAGGGCGGGTCCGGTTCTCTCGGGGTTGTGTCAGCCTTGTGTGGGTGTCCAAACAACGAACACACCCAGATGAACTAATCCTACTTGATGGTAAGCTTACATTAACAGAACCCCACAAGTTCCCATTCCTCTCTTTTTAGTCTCTGGGAAAGTAGGGAGGGTCCCTCCTAAAACGCTTCCCCATCTGTGGATTGAGCTACCTCTTATCAGGGCTGCAGGGCTTCCTCTTGTCTCCCGAAGCTGACCCACAGACTATTACAGGGAGGGGGGCTGAACTGAAACCATGATGGGCTGGGGAAGATATGGCGGCAGGTGCGGGGTGGGCCATTCGCACTTCCTAAGCCGGCTGTCCTGGACCACCCAAACCCCCACAGAACGAAGGACCTTCCTGCCAGTTGTTGTCTCTTGGCCTGGCCTCCTCTAGAAGCTGAGAGATCTGAACACGGGGCGATGCTCCGGGTGGGAAGGTCTCTCCGCCACAGGGTGACCTCTCTCCAGAGGTCATTGCCCCGATTGCCAGGAAGCTTCAGGGCCCCATTCCAAATCCCCTCGTGATCCGGACAGCCTTGTACAGCAGAGCGCTAGGTCCTCTCCCACAGGGTTGTTTAAACCTGACCAATGTTTCACTGACACCCAGCTGGCTTGTTTTCCAAACGGGAGTCAGCCAAGCTAACCTAAGAAGGGCAGGATGCAGCCTGCCTCTGCAGCAGAGGTCCCCAAACTTGGCAACCTTAAGGCTCGTGGACTTCAACTCCCAGAATTCCTCAGCCAGCATAGTTGAAATTCACAAGTCTTAAAGTTGCCAGGTTTGGGGACCCCTGCTCTACAGAGCCGTGCAGGTTAGAATATGCATGGGATTGCACGGAGCAGCAGGCGAGGTGTTTACTGAGATACTTAAGGCAGAACAAGTAATTAACGGAGAACAGTAGCTTCCGTTTAGAGAGCTACTATTCAACGGTCCTTGGTTCCCAGGACACTGCCCACAGTACCCAGCATCTTCTGTTTCCTCGACATTCACCCTCCAGGCCACTTGAGGCTGGGCTGAAGGTTGCTTGTTTCTCAAGTCCCTGGGGAAGGTAGCGAGGGCAGGAGTGGTCCAAGCAGCATCCGGTATCAGGCAGCCCCCTGCCAGAGCTGCACCTGCCCATGCATTGAGAAGATCTTGGGGAGGCTTGTGAAGAGCCCTGCCTGAAGTGGGGGGACGGGACGTGGATGAGGTGACAGACCTCCTCCCTCATGTCCCCCCAGGTTTAGAATTGCCTCCCGCCCACATCCACGCCCCATTTTTAGCAGGCTTGAAAGACGGTTTCGTTCCAGTGGGCCTTCAGTTTTTAGATTTAGTGGTACCCATCTTGGGCAGGACAGACACGTTATTTGATTCGTTAGTCCTTTTATTCTTACAACTTGATGCGGTTATTTTTGCTTTTTGATCATGTTTGTTATATTCTACCCATTACTTTCTGTTTTGAGGGATCTTTAAAAAATGGCATTACATAAATCTTATTTATTCCCACCCCACCCCACCCCCAATACTTCCAAACTCAGCATGCATTCTTAATGCGTAAAATTAAAGATCAACTTTACCTAAACCAGTCATTAAAATTATTTGTGTTAGGGAAAATTGCAGCTTAAAATATGCATTCAGAAAGAAAAAGCTGCATATAAGTAGAAAAGCATATCTTAAACTTTGGACGGAGAATGCAGGTTCATACTCTTACAGCTTTTCAAGTGAAATGTAATATTTCCATTATATTGAATAATAAAATTTGAAAGTAGGTAGAGATTAAAGAACCCCAAATATAAAATTCAGCTCCCTTTTCTAAATAAGAGATATCCTTAAATGGGACGAAGAGAATGTTTTTTTTAAAAAGGTGGAGTGTTTTACTTTCAGTAGAGTAAGTGGTTGAAAAAAAAAATTGTTCAGATGCAACCCAGCCAATCTTGAGTGGATCATTATTTCCTTGTCTGTTTCCGTTTATCTGGTGCTGTTTTCTACCAAATTTGCCTCACTAATTTAGAAGTATTGTAGACAATTAAAGCAATAAATTTGTAACCATTCGTTTTAAACCAGGTGGAATAATATCTAAAAGATGGATGTTTAACAATCTAACATTTTACAACTAAGCTGGTTACTGTATCTACACCAAGGCTCTTCAAACTTGGCAAGTTTAAGACTTGTGGACTTCAACTCCCAGAATTCCCCAGCTAACACGACTGGAGGAGGAATTCTGGGAGTTGAAGTCCACAAGTCTTAAAGTTTGAAGACCCCTGATCTACACGGCCTTGCATACCTCAGAGATTAAGGTGTAAAGGGAATAATTTTACAACCACTAATTAAAAAGGAAGGTAGCTATAAAAAGGTGTTTCCCAGATTGGGCCTTTGCTTTCTCCTTCAACTTCTCACTAGATGGCAGTCTTAGATTTTGAAAGCTGGTATCATAAGCTGGAAAGACAGACTCTGAAAGACAGTGGCTAACCTGTCTTAATATAGCGGCTTTTGAGCAAAACTGCAGTACATGAGAAGTTAATCTGAAACACACGTATTTTGTCCTTGAGACAAGCTAAGGAACTTACATTAAAATTCAGCAGGGGGCTTACGTGTTTGTGTAAAATTAGGGGTACGAGTTGAGTCCCAAGCGAGAGAAGGCGGCCTTAGGGGTAGGCTACCAATTTTGCTGTAGGTTATACACTCTGTGGTGTTTAGGATACCGCTCTAGTCTACTTACCTCTCCCAAGACATCTTTATTATTTTGATACACGAGGGATACTTTTATATATAACAGTTTTGCAGTCTATCCAGAGAACTTTGGGCCTTAGTCACATTCAAAATATAATAAATGCATTGAGATGTGTGTTCAGGCGCATTGTTAAACAAACACTTTGGCGCTTTTTATTTGCTAGACACAGTTAAGAAGCTTCAAGATCAAAAGCATGACATGGAAAGAGAGATCAAGACCCTGCACAGGCGGCTGAGGGTGAGTCACCTTGTTGGTTGGGCTGAGGGAGGGAGGGAGAGACTGGCCCAGAGTCACCCAGTGGCCTTTCATACATAAGGTGAACTCTCACCGTCTCCCGTTTTCTAGCCCGGTACCTTAACCACCAGGTTAGACCAGAACAGCTCCGGCTACCTTCTAATTCTTCTCCGTAAGGGTTTGAAAAGAACGCATGTCTCTTTTGCTGTTCTCTATCCATAGTTCATAAGGACCCACGTAGGTCATTAGATCCCTCCTTCGGGTGAGAATCCAGAGCTGAGGGGCGCTGGACGCCTGCCACAACCCCACCTGAGCGCCTTCAGTGGAGGGAAGGTGCCGCCTCTCTTGCTTCCCCATTCTGCTCTCAAACCGCTCCTACTGAAAGGGAGATCAGATGCACACAGAATCCACACCCTGGAATGGGAACCTGCCCTGCCTTGGGCTTTTCGCGGCTTCAGCCTGTGCTGGATCCTATTCAGGAACCGATCAGCTACTATCACAAGATCTTGCCACAATATTACTGTTCAATGAAAGATCCCTCACCCTGGATCTCTTATCTTTCGTTTCAACTTCCCATTGTTTCTGTTAGGGATATTGAAGCTGTCTTTTTGAATGTTGTTTCTGTGTTCTGGGATCACTATGCAGTCCATGCATTGCATTTTACTCCGTTGCAGACTTGCTAAGCAGTCTTTCCACATCCTCATTCACATTGCTAATACAAGGGCCTCAGGCTGAATTTTGTACCACCCATTCCCTCCAGTTTGATAAGAACACTGAGAAGGGCTTGTCTGGTTTTGGAGCCAGCTCCAGAGCTACTTGATTGTCCTTCAGCCCACACTTGCTGACTGAGATATTTTGCCAAATAGTTCGCTATAATCAAGTGCATTTTATCTATTGCATTTATGCTACTAAGAAATTTCCAGATCAAAAAATAAGATTAATCTGGAATGACTTATTTTTGAACTTTTTCTTTTTTTTTGCTAATTATTTTTATTCACCATCTTGTTTACAAAGTGTTTACCGATCCGAGTCTCATCCTAGAGTCCTTCAAGGTATCTGGCTTTCTGACTTTTTGAAGTTACGACATCCTTCCCTGGGGCTCCTTATGACCGGATTTGAAGTATAGGATTTTAAATTCATTCACAATCATCGTGTATTCCTTCGCTCCATTGTTTCTCCGAGTGTGGATTGCAAACTCCAAGAAGATGGCCAAAGGGTTGTTGGAGAGGGCAGGGGGTTGTCGTGAGAGAGAGCGCCACCCTGTCAGGTCTTCCCAAGCAGGCTGCCAGCTGTCAGGCTTGCAATCAGCAGCTCTTTGGGATTTTATCCCCCACCCCCGCAGCTGAGCACACAATCTCAAAAGATGCCCCTTCCGGTTGAATTGCACCCCTGTCGGTTCCCTGCCTGGGAATCCACGGCCTGATCCCTGCTTATTTTCAGGAAGAGTCTGCAGAGTGGCGCCAATTTCAAGCAGACTTGCAGACTGCTGTGGTCATTGCTAATGACATCAAATCTGAAGCCCAGGAGGAAATTGGGGACTTGAAGCGCAGGCTGCATGAAGCTCAAGAAAAGAATGAAAAGCTCACCAAAGAGCTCGAGGAAATAAAGTCACGCAAGTATGTTAATCAAACGTAATCATCATTTATAATTCATTTATGGGTAATTCCTTAACATTTCTGAAAGCTGCACAGCGCACAGTTGCTGAGCACGAGAGAATAGCTGATAATTTACAGGGGGAGGGTTTTTTTTTGCTCATCTGTTAGAAGAGATTTATAAAACGATAAATTTATCCTTTTATTTTTTTTAACTACGGATAGTCCTCAACTTGTAACTGGTTGCTCGGTGACCTTTGAAGTTACAACAGCCCTCCCCAGGGCTACTTACGACTGGATTTGAAGTTCCCGTAGCCACACACCCTCAGTGGTCACACCATCCTGCTTTGGGTACTCAGCAGCCAGCCTTAAGTCACCACAATTTATGACATTTTTTGCTTCTGATTTCCAACAGACTCCCATTTCTAGACGATGAATTTGCTTAGCGAGTACCACAGAAAAGGTTGTAAAATCAGGCTAAGTCACGTAGTAACCTGCTTAAGAGCCACGGTGGCCCAGTGGTTAGAATGTAGTACTGCAGGTTGCTTTTGCTGCCTGCCGGCTGCCTACAGTTTAACAGTTCTAATCTCACCAGGCTCAAGGTTGACTCAGCTTTCTGCCCTTCCGAGGTGGGTAAAAGGAGGACTCAAAATTGCTTTGGGAAATATGTAAACTGCTTAGAGAGGGCTGTAAAGCGGTATATAAATCTTAAGGGCTATTGCTGTTAATGACCAACACGACCTACAGCCATAATTCCAGGCTCAATTACTGTTATACATTTGCAATCACAATCAGGACCAGAATTTCCACTGCTAAGCAAAGTGCTTGTGAAATGACTTGCACCTGATTTTACCTTTTTTTTTTTTTTGCCATGTTAAGCGAATGGCGGCAGTTGTTAAGCGAACCAGATGTCATTATGTGAATCTGGCTTCTCCCATTGATTTTGTTTGTCGGAAGTCGAATGGGAAGATCAGAAATGGTGGCCATGTGGATCCTGGGATGCTGCAGCCATCGTCAATATATATGTGCCAAGCACCTGAATGTCATCATGTGACTAGGGGGGGGCTGCAACAGTCATAAACGGGAGGAACAGTCACACATCACCATTGTAGTGCCGTTGTAACCAACATTACCAACAGAAAAAGAGATGGGGCCCCCCGTCCCAGTCTTCCTCTGTGTCAAACTCACAGCCCAGGGACCAGGCATGTCACACGCTAGCCACGTCCACGCCCGGTTCAGCAAAGGAGAGAAAAGTCACGAAAAAGACACGAGTTTGACACTCCTGCTCTAAGGCATTAAAAGCCAATCGCAATAAGATTTTCTCTCCTTAATTTCGCTAGGAATTTTTCCTTTTGATTCTTCTGTAAGAGCCTCCTGTCTGTTTTGAAAAACTGTCTGAAGGAAAACTCTCCTTTAGCCAAACTTCTGCTTGCTGCCTCTGTTAGAGTGCTGGTGGAAGAGGCCTTGAACCAGGGTCCTTCTGGACCGGGAGGCTCCTTAGCCGCCCATACATGGAGGCTATCAAAGTCAGGACCACCTCCTGAGATGTGGAACAGAAACTCCCCATTTGCTATGGAAAATTGTCAGGCAGTTGCTAAGTATTTGTCACAAAACGTCTCTAGAATGTTAATGGCTAGGTTTTTCTAATCTTCTAATTTCTTTAAAAATGACGGATGTTTAGGACCTATGCATGAACATTGTGTAAAGTTCAGTATTAGAAGTATTTTAGAATTGATTTGTTTACTTTATACTGGTGAAACTCGACAAATTAGAATATCGTGCAAAAAAAGGAGCATCTGAATGAGCAGTGCCCAATTTATTAAGTATAAAATACATTCTTTTTGCTTTAGCTACAGCGCTCTCTTCCTTGAGCACATCTGTAGATCACTGCATATAGAAGATGCCCTGGCGGTACTTCAAAGCGTGAAAAAATGCTTCTTCGTTCCAAAATGGCCCCGTTTTGACTTAGCTCCCTGTATTTCATGTAGTAAAAGAGATCGAGCTTGTTATGTCCCTTCAGAGTTTTAGCCGTTCAAAAGATGAAGTGGTCCCTGCATCCTTCAGGCACTCTGTGTGATGCGCTAGTCAGACCCGTTAAAAGTTGGGTTTCTGCTGCCCCGCAGGCAAGAAGAGGAGCGTGGCCGAGTTTACAACTACATGAATGCTGTGGAAAGAGATTTGGCAGCCTTGCGGCAAGGCATGGGGCTGAGCAGGAGGTCCTCCACCTCTTCGGAACCGACCCCCACGGTCAAAACACTCATCAAGTCCTTTGATAGCGCCTCACAAGGTAATTTTTTCTTTAAAGAGTTGCATAAAATTAGTGAAATATTATACAGGGACTCCATATCAGACTCTCATTCCCACAGGGTGATTTGATGATAAACGTAGCTTTATTTTACGAGGTGTATTTTCTTTTCTTATGTCCTGCCTTTAATTTGCATGTCTTACTGTTCCTTATTGATTGCCTGCACTCTGCATAGCCCTACAAAAGGGTTTACTGGGATGAGTCGGTCTGTGTGTAGGAGTTGCAGAAGAAAAGTGGGCCAGTAAAGTGGCTGAAAGGAAAGGGCAGCTCAGAGGTACTTTCCAGTGGGACAAATGCCTTCCCAAATAAGGTCATCACTAGTTGGCATCCATTTTAAAATAGATCTGTATTCCGTTGCAGTTTTTAAAAATACAGAGAAAACAAATTATAACAGAAGTCTCCAACCTTTCTGGATTGGTGGCAGGGAAGGGAGGAGGGGTAGGTACCTTTACACCTGCACACATGTGAATGGGGCTGTGAACACACACACACAATGCAAACGGGGGCATGAGCGCCCCCATGACACAAATGGGGCCAACAGCATCCGCGTGACACTTGCAACAATATAACATGAGTTGGGGGTATAAGCATGCATACACGTGCGTGCACTGGCCAACCACTTATGTGGTCCACTGGTTGGGGACCTTTGACTTACAGCACAGCAAAAACACTAAGAACAAACACAGAAACTTTGCTAAGAGAGGCTATATACAGCCATCCAGTGAGTAATCTGCTTTAAGTTCTTTTAACGAAACAAGCAAAAAAGAATAAACAAACAATAATTTTCAAAAATTAAAGGAATTGCACACTTCCTGAATCCAGTCCGTGAAGCATGGAGGAATAACATCTCTCCAGTCTCTCGGTGTAATTTACTTAGCTATTTCCCACAACCAATACAACCAAAGTTCCACAAAAGATTTTGGAATGTGATTAGAACATTTATCCACCTATCTAGTTATATATGCTACAGAAAGGAACCAGAAAGGAACCAGCCGCACCTCGGGCCAAATCATATGGGACAATGCATCATCAGACTTTTCTGTTGCCTACAAAGAAAATCTACACTCCGTCCTTTGGGGTGAGCATGGAATAAAAGCTTCCCAATGAATTGATTTGCAGCCTCAAATTCAAAGAAACAGACTTGATACTTTTAAAGATTTGATGTTCTATTGATGTTGTATTATCAGATATTCCAGCTCTACAGTATTCCATTCTTCATAAATGTTGATAGTTTCCACTTTAAAGATATTTTAATTTTCTGATATAAATACAGAAACTCTCATATCAAAAAGCTCTGAATGGCGCTTAGAAAATCAGCACATTGACAATATTTCCATAGGTCAATTGCAAAAGGCCACACGGCTTGGATCCGCGCATGTAATACGCTCGTTCCATTATGCCAACACCAGCTAAAGAAGTGGCAGTTGTGATTTCACATTGTTGTGTATAGAGTAATAATTTATTAAATGTATATGCTGCCCAAATCCCAATGACTCCCGGGCAGTATACACATTGCTGGAAACATTTAAAAAGCAAGGAAGCAACAACAAAAACAAATGAAGATGGCAGAAAGGGTTAAGAATAAAGAAAACAGCTGAAACATGAGGCCATCTCTGGACATTTTTTGAGACTGCTAAAGCATCTGGTCCTTGTTCAACTGTCAAAAGCATTTTAGAAAAATACCAGTTTAGTCTCTTTAGATCTAAGTATCACAGACCTATCGGGGTCTCTTTCATTCACGTTAGTATCATTTAATTTTCCCATTGTGTGCACCAATTACATTCTTAGTTTATCTATTATTTTTAATTTCAGTTTGTATCCTAGGAGTAAAAGCAGCATTAAAACTTAAACAATCCACCCTTAAAGTAAATTGTTCTACATTCTGCTCACTGTTTAAAGTCCTCAGTGTGAAGGAACTGGCTGATATGTATTAGACATAGGCAGACAGAAGGAAATTTAAAAACTCCCCTGCTGTAAGAGGTGTCCATGCTTTTGGGGGGCGAGGCGGGGGGGAGCTTACGGGGCAGCACCTGGGACTCTGCAGATTGTGCCTTCTGGAACATCCCCCTTGAAATGCCAATTCCGGGAAATTTTCTTTGCCCCCTTCAGACTAGATCTTACCCTAAGAAAGACGTGAAAGGGCCCAGGCCGCATGGAGGCCCACAACAGGAGACACCTATCCAGGGAGACCTGAACTTCCTTGCCCACCATGCTTGTTTCTGTTTACTTGATATGAGAAAAAGGTGGAGAGGGTTTCTTCTGAGATGCTTATGCCATGAGATATAAAACTGGAGCCACTTTCTTCTTCCATAGTTCCTAGTCCTGCTGGAGCTACAATCCCCCGAACTCCACTGAGCCCAAGTCCTTTGAAAACCCCCCCGGCAGCTGCCGTCTCCCCAATGCAGGTCAGTGCATTTATGGGTTTGATCAAGCCTGGCGCAGGTTGGCCTTACACAAAGAAAACAAACCGGGAAGGTTTTTCAAGGGAAGAGGGTCCATATTATTTATCATTGGCTTCCCAAAATAATATCCAAATCACGTCAGTTGTGGACCTCCTGCTGTTTCTCTGGAGACGCCAGGACCGTCCACGTGGCTTCGCGTGTACCTCTTAGCGGGAACGATCCACATATTTCTTAGGCTGCAAAAAGGGCAGCTTTCTTTACTGAGCCACAGTTAGAAATGCTAGTTTAAAACTCCTTACAAGCCATGATTAACTGGAACAATCAGAACTGCAGTGCCTGAGATCCAGAAATCGGGGGGCCCGTTCAGCAGTGGATTGTGTGAGAAATAGAAACGGGGGCGAACTCTCGTGTGGCTCTGGCTTGTTACTTGTTCCTGTTTTCGCAAGTGCCCCTCATCAGGAATACCAGCAACATAGGAAGTCCTTATTTTAAGAACAAAAATTGGGATGATCAATTAGCTTGATTAATTAGCAACATGACCATTAAGCAAGACATCACAGGAGCATGATTTTACTGCCGGCTGCTCCATTGCCCCTACATAGCCAACTGTGCAGATCTCGTGATTGTGAGATATGGCAACAGTTGTAAATGTGAAGATTGGTCATAAAGTTACTTTTCCAGCACTATCGTAACTTTGAGCCGTCGCTGAACAGGACTGTAGTTAAGCCAGGACCATCTGCAAAATACTTGAGAGATTGGCTTGTCCCCAGTTGCTGAGCTTAGGGGGTGCCCTCCATTAAAAGCTGGCGCCTTGCGGGACGTGGGCAGGGTACCTTCCCCATTAGGGCCACACTCTGTGGGGCAGGATCCCCCCAGAGACCACGACTTTCTCTCCTTTGGAAACCTTCCTTTGGGTCCCAGGCTTGGGCTTGATGCTTGTCATTTGGGCCATTTGCTTAATGGCCCCTGTTTGGTTTTCTAGATTTTGTTGTTTATTAGACTAGGTTAGTCTGGGCTGTTGGCTTTATTTAATATTTTTAGCTGCTTTTATATCTTGTCTAGTTTTGTACATCTCCCAGAGTCTACTGGGATTGGTCAGACAATAAATTTAACTAAATAATGGCTAAACCAGGCTTCGTGACTCCCAGGGTAGCCTACATCTGGTTAGCCTAACAGATTCCTACAAAGGGTCCTTAAGGTACCAATTCTGTCTTCACCACTGTGAATGTGATGATTAATTACAGTGTAATTAAAATACTCAATTGCCCTCTGGGGAATCTTGAAACAAGGTCTCCAGCCGAGTGTGACAACTACAGTCTTTGGAACTAGCTGTTTATTTTCCCTAGTGACAGTGGATCTGCAACTGAGAACCCAGCGTAAGCTGATGGCTCGGCTAGTTTTAAACCTGATCTTCTGCCGTGACTTGCTCAGCTAAATCACAGTGAGCTTCCGGGGTTAGTGGCGCCTCTCTTGGCGATGTGTTTAAAATTCAGATAGGAGCATAATATCCAAGTGGTGAACGACAGCAGTTGAGATTTAGCAAACTGCTTCCTTTTCTCAAAAATAATTTCCCCCCTCTGCAGAGACACTCCATCAGTGGACCAATATCTGCTCCTAAGCCGCTTGCTACGTTATCAGACAAAAGGTCCAGCTATGCGGAACTTCCAGTTCAAGGTACGAAGCGTCTTTTGCTACGAACCTCACCAGACACATTTTTAGAATCCTTCGGGATCTTCCATGGGGGGTTGAGCTGGGAGGACCTTTGCAGAAGGCAGATCAGCTCCACATCTTCACCCCAAGGTGGAGTTAGTGGCAGCCTGCAATATCTTTCCAAGACCTGGCTGGGCTGAATTGTGGTTTGTTGCCTGTCTCTGCTGGACCGTTCCAGAACATGAGAGTGGTCTGCCTTGGAAGCGCCTTCCGATGGTGGCTGAGCCCAAAGGCGAGACACTTCACTGCTCCAGTGGGCAAACGGTTCTCTCGGCCAACACCCCCCACCCCCCCACCCCAAGGATTGTTTTAAGAACATGGGAATTCCTGGAGTGTTACTAAAGTTGCACGTGTGTTTAGAGAAACTTTGTGTGGCTTTTCTATCACTTCTGTTGAAAAGTAATCACATTGGGACAGATCTCTCCTGCCCTATGCTGAGGCTTTCATTTTAGGACCAGCCCTATTGATGAAGATATTGTACTTGTAAGTGGATGGGATGAGATCCCAAAAACTGTGAGAAGCATGTTTTGCGTTTTACAAGCCATCTTCTCTCTGCACATATGAACAAGGTGCTTTTTAAAGAAGGGCCCAGACTCCTTTGTTTAATGAGAAAAAAAAAATCCAAATTTTCCTCCGTATAGAGAGTTCTCCGTATCACACCTGCACAGATCTCAGATACAACCTATGTTCCTTATTCACTTTTGCTACTATTAGCACAGTATTTCTTGAACAAAAAAAAAAAAAAAATGAGACAATAGTGAACAAGAATGTTTATTTCTCCATTTCCAAATATTTTTCTGGTGCTTGGTAGGTTTACTTATCAACTTTTCCTTTCAAAGGCCCCTTCCGGTAAGAATGAATGGTTGGTTCTCAGATCTGGGTGTAGCTCTTTGATTTACGGCTGGGCTTTTTAAAATAGACTTTCACAAGAATAGTTTTCATGCGAACAAGGAATAGGCTTCCTTTTGAACTTGGACAAATAACAGCAAAGCATCAACAATAGAAATTCTTCCACGGCTTAAAATAATACTGGTGCTCTGGTCTTTTCTAGTTGTTTTTGGAATGCCTTTGGCATTATTTAATATACACGGGGAAGTAAATTGGAATTCAAATTAGTGTACTGTATACAGAACTGGGAAAGGGCCCGCTGCCTGCCCAGCCCTTTCATGAGCGCCATTTCCTTCTGCCCTAGACCAGAAAATACTACATAACTGGGTTTTTGTGCAACATCGTTTGGTTTATTTTACCTAACCACTTTTATCCCATTCTTTTAACTGAAAAATAATTTTCAGTGTGGTTTGGAATAAAAGCATTCCAAAATTAAACAAATACAGCATAGTAAAAACAGGGTGATAAGCTAGAGAAAAGAAGCTATAGTGCACATGGTAACAATTTAAGACATAATCAGGTTCTCAGTAGAAGAAAAGGATATTCAGCCCATGGAAGAATGTATTTGAGAGAAGAGAAAAGCCATTTTTTGCTTGCAGAGTAATTTGCTAGCCAAGTTGCGGCACCAGAAAATTCTGTCTTGCAGCCCAAGTGACCGCTTCTTCATAGCTGAAGGCAGCACGATTCTGCTCTGCACTTTAAAGGTTAGATGAACCTTTTGTTTAAGTCTCATGTTTGGGACCTGCCACATATGAAGCAGTAACAAATACTTGGTCTTTTATTGTATTGGGTCGTCATCCACGCTGCCTCCTCTCCCTGTAGGCAGGATCACTCGGGCTTGTGCTGAGGTTGAGGTGACGTTTCCTCCTTCCCTTTCCATGCAGATCATTTGCTGAGAACTTCTTCTACCAGCAGACCCGCTTCTCTGCCAAGAGTTCCTGCTATGGAAAGCGCTAAATCTCTCTCTGGTAATAATGGGTACTATGGAAGCAAGCAATTCTTCGGATACTGTGCTGTGAACGCCCTTAGAAAATGTACATGTGTAAGAGTATACAAATAAGACTTCTGGATATGTTGGTATGAAGGGCCACTTCATTATAACATCAGCGGTTTGTGAAATAACACATAGAAATGGGTGACTCTCAACCTTAACTTTAGTCTAATCCCAGTAAACACAGTTAACAGGTGATATGTAAGGGAAATCGTTATTGCTATGTGATATTCTTCCGTTTGCAATCAGACAGAAGAAATGTAGATAGATTAAAGCTGACACAGGAGATTTGTTCCTTGCCAAACACATTTTGAGATGTGTCTGGAGTAGAACTACTACAACTTAAGATCTAGATTAGTAGAATAGAATGGTTTCTTTCTGAATAACATCTTAAGTCCTTAAAATATGTTCTTGGAAGTTCAGGAACAAGCCTGGATCGTGCTCCTTTGACCAAACTCAGTGGCCGCAGTATCTACTAGCACCAGGGTGGGGTTGCTCACAGGACTAAAATGCTTAGATTGCAAATGTCGGGTCCATTATGAAATTGAACACTGGGCTTTCCGATTTTCCATCCAAGTGTCTCGCCGAAGCAGTGAAGAAATCAAGCGGGAGATGACCGCTCCTGATGGAACATCTCCAGCCTCCCTCGTAGCAATTGGGACCGCTTCGCCACAACTGTCGCTCTCATCTTCACCCACAGCGTCGGTCACTCCTACAACACGGAGTCGAATAAGGTACAGCTCACTGCTCCTTTCCACTTGGGCCCTGACCAGCAGAGCTAGTGAGGTTCATCACTGGGCTTCCTAACCCCGAGCATGCTAGCGAGGGCTGACTGGCACCTCCCTCGCCACTTGGGAGCATGTCTGGAGCACTGTTGGAGCATTCGCTGGCCTTCGCTTGTGTGCTTTTGAAGCATCTCCTTGGCCGGATGCCAGGCCCTCCCCTCTCTTGCTTCTGGCTAGTTGCTGTTCATCTCCAACATGGTGCAAAAATGCTTCTCTCTCTCTCTCTCGTTCCTGCACCCTTTGAAATCCACCGCTGCATCAGGAGTGGATGAGCTGAGTCGTATCTAAGGTGCCCCCTGTGAGCTCCTTTAAGGGTGGATGAGGCATATTTAGATACCGTAACACACAGCAGTCTGAGAAGACAGCATGGAAGGGAACTTAAAACACGAGTTTCTGCTCAACCACTTTGATACTCTGAGAAAAAAGAAACCTTTCCCACATCACTCTCTTGTTACACTTTTTGGGAGGAATTTTGCACCTTGCGTAGTCCAAACCTCCCAGGCTTTGCTGGGTGCAGTTAGAGCAGCCTTCCAATTAAGGGCCCTTGAAAGAGAAGGCGGCGGCTGCACGAGCCCTTGAGGAAGACATTCGCTTTTAAGCAAGTCTCCACACTTGTGCTTCCAGCTGCCAGCCATCTCTATCATCTGTTGAGCTTCTATGTTATCCTCCCATGTCCGGCAGGAAAGATCAGTGAAGGTCCAATAAAACTGATTTATTGCTAAGCATGTCACTACACAAGAATATTCTCAATTAATGGGTCAGTACCTGCTTGGATCCATGGAATCTGGTCTGCTTGTGGCTACGTAGAGATTCTAGGCTGATAACCTCTTTTACCTCTGCCCCCAGGTTCTGCCACTCCTTCCCCTACATCTCTCTGGTTCTAGTTTGGTTTTCTGGGGCACCCGAAATCCTGTCAGCACTTCTTGTTTCTGAGGCCATTTACCATCCAATCTTTCTGCTCTCCAGATTAGACGTGTCCCTTCCCCCACCCCACCCTGGGTGCTTCTCCTACTGGTTGTCCTTCCAAGTGGTTTATCAGATTGGTGTGCCTTGGCATCAGTGGTGGGATTGAAATGGTGTTGCCACCAGTTCGGTGGGTGGGGCTTGGTGGGTGCGCTTTGCGTGTGTGCACACGCTTTGTGTGCACGCGCGTGCCAAATGCGCCATTTGCGCAGGCGCAGAGGCATTTCTAACTCGCCTCCTGCAAGCCTGCACGATCTCCCGGTCACTTAAGCAGCTGACCCACAGCACCATTCTGTGCCACGCAAAGCAGCTGCGCTTCAAATTCGGAGGATAAAGGGGAGTATGGGAGCCTGGGTCGGTGGGTGGGCCCAACAGCAGAGCAGTGGAGAGAACCGGTTGGGTCTCCGCTGTTCATTGCTCCTACCGGCTCTCCAGAACCGGGCAGAACCGATCAAGTACCACCACTGCTTGGCATTCTCCACAGGTTCTCAGCAAAATTCCTTTTCTTTTTCAAATTGAATTATATATGTTGGATGGGTTATTCTGAATATCTTGATTAGTGAAAAAAGAGCTTTCTAGAATACAATGCTAACATAGGATGAGGTAGCTTGATTTGAATACAAGAATGCTTCTTTTAATGTAGCTAAAACGAGCATCTGTTTTTTAGTAGCTGCTACCACAAATACTTTTAAATATTCGTTTGTTTTGCTTTTAAGCTGCCCATTTCCCAAGACTGTAGTAGCTAACAATATCAAAATATAAAATATAACCCCATAAAATCATAACCTTCAACTCGTACTGATGTTACTTTGATTCAAGCCAGCTTTGTCCAGCTTGCAATAAAGCACCCCAGGTTGACAATTACATTATAAAGAATAGATATTTTACTTTGAGCTAAGCAGGTGTAAATTCGTAGTGCCATCCTGATGAAAGGATAGGTTATTAAACCATTTCTGTATGTTTATTTAATATATTAGTATGGATGTTAAACAATTTATTAGATACATAAGTATTAAAATAAGGTTATCTTTAGAAATGAAAAAAAGTATGGCTAAACAATAGGCTAGTCAAGGTCTATAATGCCAGCATAAAAAACAGTTAAACTGGTTTGGGCTTGGAATGCAGTTGACCTAACAGACAGACTCATTGGTAAGATTAATATTTGTTGTAAACCACTTCTCATTGTGTCCACCCAGCTCATTTTATTTGTTTCCTGAAACATTATTTTCAAAACAAAGAACTTGACATAAAATGTGTTCCTCTCTGGAATTTAGAAACAAGCTGTACTGTTCTTTTGCAGTGTTACGGGTGGTTAGATTTTTGTTTTCTTTTTAAAGAAAGATTTGGTTTAGACTTTTAAAATATTCTTAAACGTGTAGTTTATGTTCTTACATCCATAGGTATCTAGTTAAAACTCTATCAATCACCAGACCCATCGACGACGAAGCAGGGTTGGCAAAGCAGGGGTAATTTTAGGGAATCATTGCAAAGACATTGAAGATTTTTAGGATTACAGACTGACTCAAAATGGGTGCAGAATGAGAATGAAAAATGGGTTTGAGCTGGGCTGGGTAGGTGGAAGTGAGGAAGCCCCACAAAACATAACACGTGCCATTTCTTAAATCACATTTTAGCATGCTGGTGACTGCTAAATAGATCGTATCGGCTTCAAAGTAGGGGAGAAGTGATCAAACAAGAGAAGGGGGATGGGGTGTGTGTTTTGCTACTGAGAGAATTGCAGAATTATGAAAGTTAAAAAAAAAACAAAAGAGAGATGTTTGCAGGTTTTCCCCTTTTTGGTGGGTTGAATATAATGCTTTTCTTTATTTCGAAACATTACGTTGAACTAATTTTACCACCACTTGAAGACTTACGCTATATTTTCCATGCATTTCCTTTCTGAAAATGGCAAGAAACTAGTGGGCCCTGGAAGTCAGATTAGCCAGCACATTTTGAAACTTAAGAGGATCTACAGAAATCATTATTTAGACTTCTGGTTTGTCAGGTGAGGTTCTCCGTGCCAGCTACTATGAAAACTAATTTTTGTCATTCGCATTTCATTCTGTCCTTCCTTTTGCATCCTTCCTTTCGTGATTCTTTTCCACCATTTCTTTGATATTAGTATAACTCCTGTCCCGCAGTGGGTTGGCTGTGCCGAATTATCTCATGGCAAGTTGGCCGTGGGCAATTGTCATAGACCCCATTCAAGGATGTTGGCATTTTCCTTGTTTCTCCTGAATCTCCCCTGTGCCACCTTTTCCTATCTCCCCACAGCCACTGCGCGCCACCTGCCTCATTGTCCTTCGGCCTGAACGCTTCTGTTCCACGTCCATGCCCAGGACCAAACCCACAGTTTTGTGTCTGGAACAGGCTTCCTGAAAAGGGCCACACACAAAATTTTGCTCATCCCTAGTGAAATACAAAAATAATCATAATCCAGTTTTGGAAAGAGGCTGAAACAAGCTTCTTGCTGTTCTCTGCCGCTTCCAAACTTGGGTGATAGAAAGCAGTTCCCTGAAGACTAGCCTTTCTCCATCTGGAGGTGCAGCATCCTTGACTGATCCCAGGGAGCATAAGCAGATCCTAATATGGTTGGTCCTAGGTGGGAAATGTCAGGCTGGATTAAGAATTGGAAAAGTACCCTGGAAGAAGGCAGCAAAACAGCTGCCACGTTGCATGGTGTGGCATTGGCCCATTCCACGCACTGCCAACGGGCGGGCACACTTTGGGCCCCTTCTTTGAAACCGGACCCTCTGATGGGACCTGAGATGTGTGCCTTTTGGTTAGAGTCCCCGCCCTCTGGAACAGCCCCCTCCCCTCCTGACACATGGTTGGCCCCCAACCCAGGTCACCTTAGGAAGGCATTCCAAGCCTGGATCCCCACCTGGAGGGGAGCCGCCATCATCGCCTGTTGCAGGGTTTCTCAGCCTTGGCTGCTTGAAGTTGTGTGGACTTCAACTCCTGGGGGGGAATTCTGGGAACTGAAGCCCACACATCTTCAAGCAGCCAAGGCCGAGGGACAATATGGCCTGTTGTGGGTTTTGCCATTTCATTGTTTATTTTGCTTTCTTGTCTTCCGGTTTATTGTAAACTACCCAGAGCCCCAACGTTCACATTGTGCAGCCTGTAAATTAAAATTAACTTTAAAAGAAAACAGCATGAATCATGAAGACTCGATCGGAGGAGTTTACCTTTCCAAGTTTGAAATGAATGGATTTGGGCAATAAACAACCACCTGTTGCTTTCAAGGCAATTGGCACAGGAAAAGGTCCTCCTGGATTTGGCCATGGCACTGCCAGATGTCTGTACATTTCCGGACCCGGAGGCAGCTGTTATGCGCCCCTTCCTTTTTTCTCAAGGAAAAGGCCTCCCTGTGAAATGCGGGGTTTCTGCCTCAAGCTTCATCCCCTCCCCCACCGTGTCAGCACAAGCAAGGCCTCCTGGGACTTCCATGCACCTGGGAAAGGCATGAATAGGGGGCATGAATGCTCCAGGGCTGCTGCCCCTCCCAGAAGAATTGCAACCCATCGACCTGTGCCTGGCTCCTGCCTGGCCTCTGCTTCTTGGCCAGAGAACAGGGAGGCCCCTCCGTGTGCAAGGGGACCTCTCTGGATTTTAAGATGACTGCAGGAGATGTCAGGCTGTTCTCTTCCCAGGTGGCCACCCACTTGCGTTGCCTCGGGGGGCGGGGAGGGGGGGCCTCAGTAGTTAACGCCCCAACCGGTCAAGGTGACATTCTGAGCCAGCCAGGAGTTGCAGGGAGATGTTATCGGTTGATTCTCTAAATTTGGATTAAAGTTTAGGAACGCTTACATCTCATGTATATGTATCAAATGCTTCTGATTGATTCCATGATTGATAGATAGATAGATAGATAGATAGATAGATAGATAGATAGATAGATAGAT